ACCAACGCCAAGATTGTGACAGGCTGACAGCCTCCACCTGCAGTGAATTGTATACTATTACAAGCAGTCAACTGGTATCCATCACGGGAGACGTGACCCTCCAGACCACTGGATAGTGGACCCTATGATTTTCCATTACTGTAGATACATACGGAGTAGTTAGCATAGGCCGGTTCCCTTAAACCTACAGCAAACATGTGGCATGCCCGCAAGCCCGAGTCATGCGCCTGCACTGGGTTTCGGAAGCAGCGCCATCGTCAAGAATCATTTGGCCGCCCTCTTCTCTTGGGTCACCACCACGATGTCCATGAGCTCGCAGCGCAATACCACTGGGCCGACGTCGGAGAGACCACTGGGCGAACTGACAGATCACAATCGATGTCGATCGGGAAATATGCCGTGAGAATTGGACCCCAACTCCATTGATGATTGAGACGCTACTCTGTGGCGGTTGCACCACTGCATCATCCATCACTTGGCAATTGGACTTCCCGATCCACCATACCTTGGCAGTTATACATACGGAGTAATCTTCTGCTTTACATACTACTTTGGATATTAGAACAGGTATTCTTGGGATTCCAGGAGTCTGGTGCAGACACTCACTCCTGCATTCACCGCAACACATCGAACTATCCACTCAGCCGGCCGGCATTTCCAGTCCCTGTTGATAGCAACAGCGGACAAAACACCGATATCCGCGTTCGATTGATTATCAGATATGATCACAATCGGTTTGGAGACAACGACAATAATTGTCATGTTTATGTTGCGGGACATGTACATGTCATTGCCTGGCTTCACTGTACAGTCCACAAGTGACAATCTGGGCAACTCGGCTACAAAGCTATCCTCGGCTCGGAGATAAACTCGCCGTGGTGTTCGCCATACCTATTGTACAGGTCATCTGAGACGCGTTCATCGCTTCTCGGCCTAGGGTTGTGCATCGTGGCGTTTCCTCGCCAGATTTGTTGTCTCCGTAGCGGAGCTCTCAGGAACACAATGGAAACCCTGTGCAATCAACTATTCCTTAGGCCCCTTGCCCAGTAAGGGAACAAATGGATCCCTTCCAGAGCAAGTAGTTGGATGCACTGGACTGCTCGGTGCCACCGAGTGGTGGATATTGTCTCGTAACCGCCGCGGGTCAACTCCGTAAAGTTTGTCGTAGTGTTGACAGCTTGCCGGCCGGCTTCCAGGAATGCGTTCTTGGCAAATGCAGGGACTAGTTGACAAGGTGTACATATTTGCCTGCATACTGCATGTGTAGGGCCACGAAACGGACAAATTATGTGGGCTCAAGAATGATTCCAGCGCTGATACGTTCGTCCGTTGGTCGCACTCCTTTCCAACTACACCATACTCTGTAGACAAGTTAATCGAACGCCGAAACGAACGGGGCTCTGATGTGCCATCGCTCGTCTCAAACGTGGCAAGCTTGCAGGGGAGCAAACCATGGTTTAATGATGATGGCTTTCCTGGTAGCGAAAAACAGTCAGTGATCACACATATTCCAAGTGAATTACGGAGTATTAGTACTGCTTCTATTGGAGACACACGAAGGACCTGCACGAACAGGGGCATTTCTTCTGGCATGGTGCGTACGGCGTACTCCGTACGATGCATATCGCAACAAGCAAGTAAGGGTCTCGACAAGACCAGCCTCAGTGGATGCTACAAGACGCAAGCAATTGTAATAAGCGATCCTTGCCCATGCGACGGGCCGATGCTCGAGATACAAAATCCTAGCTCACTCGGGCCTTTTGCACCATCCGGTTGACAAGATGTCCAGAGATCTTCAGGGTCAACAATTACGGATGTGATGCATTTGGACTAGTAGCTTACAGAGTGCACTAATGTGTGCACATGGGACATTTAACCATCAGTCTTGATGCCATGCTGGGTGCGATTGCTGAATGTGGGCCATCCAATGCAAAGCAGCCTCACAGCCTCGCTCTTGGTGGCGCATCCTGGCTCGTAGGCCAAGATCGTGAACTTCCTCCCAGGTAGGTAGGCATGATTGTTCAAGTAGACGTAAATTGCAAGATTCAGGCTGTTGAAGCCATCTATCGGTACCTGACCGAAATCCCCGACAATGCGGCAAGTGGGAACTTCGTCTGTGTCCAGGCCGGCGGCCGTGCGGCTCTCCTACGGCGGACTCGATATTTCATGTACGGAGTACGTACCAGTAATTCCAAGGCATACCCCCATAACAAGACTGCCGAGAAGCCTCCCGCGTTCCGCGACTCATTGATCCCACAGGCGACTTGGCGTTTTCATCCTTTCCCAGGAAGAGCTAGGCTGGGACAGGTTAGAAATCGGTATCCATCAACCATGTGAGAAATGGGTCTGCATAGAGTAGCTTGTGCTAGGTCCGCTGGGAAATGTTGAGCAGCTCCAATGGCGTTCGAGCCAGCCAACGAGGATCAAGATGATTACGCCTTGATAAAGGACCACATTAGGAAGAAATACGCCGGTGAGTGGGAGGCACAGGAAAGCTAGCAAGAAGCAAGCCCGAGTCGAGGTCATCGCTCGTGGGACTCGAAGGTGCAAGGAACTAAGAAATTGGTTCTGGCCTACTTGACGTTTTTGTGTCGCTCGCAAAGAGAGACTACTTGGCATGGCGGCCACGCGACCTCCTTGTTTGTTTTTTTTGGCCAGACAGCGGCGACGACTAAGTGCGGAATGCTCCGTGCCTATGGAGCACAGCTATGCTTGAATATCGACGGGCATCCAGGCTGCACAAACCGTTGATGGCGAGCAAGGTGCTCTTGGTCATTTTGACTTGTCTTGGTATGCCGGCCAGCTAGGTTCCTCACCTCAGGGCCGAGTTGTCGAGTTCACCTGTTCGTAGTAAATTGCGGCATGGCCATGATCAAGCTTTGTCGACAAGTGATGACGATGACGACAATAGAACAGCCTGCATTTCCTTGCACGGGAGGCCCAATGCTTGGAGATAGCTCGCAGTTGTTTCGGCAGGGCGGTTGTCGCCGCTTTGTGGCAAAAGATGCAGACATCAGGATACAGTGGCGGAAATTTCTCGGCCTTGGGCATCGGGAGAAACAGGGTAGCTGCCAGGCGCTTAAAGCAGTCACGTGCGGCCTGCAGCTCGCACGGCGGCCACTCGCCTCAAACCTCCATGAGTCCATGACCACACAATTGCACTAGGCTGACATCATCCCGTGTATGCCGGGCACAGGCATCATGAGAATTGTTGGACTGGCTTTGGCTTTTGTAGATATATACGGCCCATTGCGCACCTGCACTCCTCCCACATTCGTGGCCTAGCAACTCTGTTTTGTACCGCGATCAAATTGGCTCTTTACATCAATTCCATTCTCTCCTGCTTCCCTTCGTGGACAAGGATTCCGCCGGAAGCAAGCTTTCCCAGCCGTCGTACGATCATTCGTGCACCGGCGTCGCGGCATTTACACGAATCAACTCATACGGAATTGCTCTCTTCCTCAAGAATCACGGGATACAGAATATCCCTTTGGGGTTCCTGACCTGGACCAATTTCATCGGTAAAGCCGCACTCCGGAGCGCGCCACTTTTGCCTCTACAAACCCCGCGGTGAATGAACACCTCTTTGGTGCAACGCTCCTGCCTTTTTTCTTCCCGTTTTCCTTTTTTTTTCTCGGGCCCGGATCTTCTTCGGCAACTCAAAACAGCCCAGTCAGCACTCGCACTCCACCCAAGCCTCCAAACTCAAATACCAACTACATCATTCAATAAATAAGTCACCACAACCGCCCGCCCCTCCAAACCATCAATACTCCTACCAACCAACCACACAAGCTCTCCAAAATGAAGGTCGTCAGCAAAGAAGAAGAAAAAGCCCACTACAATGTCGTCGTAAAAGGCGGCTTGATCGGCGGCACGGTCAGCTTGGCCCTCGGCCTCGGCGGCGTAGCATTCGCCTCGCGCCGCTACCCTGCCTTCCGGTCGCTGACCCTCCCCTTCCGCGCGTTCCTTGTCACGTCGACGGGGACGTTTGGCGCCATTGTCAACGCCGAGCGGTACTCCAATAATTTCCAGCGGCAAAACGACCCCAGTTTCGGTTACCAGGATACTTCGCAGCGAGCCATCCAGATTGCGCGCGAGAACGAGTCGACGTACGAGCGCTTCATGGAATGGGGCAAGGAGAATCGCTACAGCATCGTCTTCGCCTCGTGGCTGGCGAGCATGGCCATCGCGCTGGCCATTGTCGGCCGCGCTCCCATGAGCACCTCTCAGAAGCTGGTGCAGGCTCGTGTCTACGCGCAGGGGCTGACACTGGCTGTGCTCGTCGTCAGCGCCGCCTTTGAGATGCACGATGCTAAGAAGGGCAGCGGCCGGTGGGAGACGGTCATGGTGGTAGACCCCAATGATCCTGAGCACAAGCACTTGATTGAGAAGAAGATTCACAAAGAAGAGTATGAGGGCCAGGATTTGTGGATGGGTGAGTTTTGCCCCTCTCCCTTTTTTTCTTGGTTTTCTTGAACAGAGGCTAACGATTGTTGGTGTTAGATATGGTCGAAGCTGAGGAACGACGATTGGCTGCTAAGAAAGCTGCGGAGAACAAGGTTTAAATCTACATTCGAACATGAGACTGTCGGCTCATGGTGGCACTACACATACATACATCTCCCATTCTGTATTTGAAGAGGCACGACATACAGTCACATTAGAGGGGGGGGGGGAATTGGCGTTCTGGGAAGCTGCATTCAGGCGGCCTTAAAAATCGGCATCTTGATCAACCCTGCATTGTACATGTACTTTCTTGGCGTCAAAACATGAACATTAAACTGTATTATTTATTTGACATTGGGTCGGGGACTGGTGTGCATATATCCCGCTGTTATTGCATCATTTGTAGAATTTCTCCCAGAATACCAATACAGGTTCATACTTTTGGGCAATACCTTGGAAATTGGAGGCTGGATGTGACCAGATTGCTAGGTTTGCAGTATTGTGATTTTTATGATTAACTGCGTTACATTGCACTCCATGCTAACTCCGGCTCAAACTTCAATCGTAAAATGACTTATCTGCGAGTAGTATGCATGCACCGCCAACTCCAGTATCGTCACGTCTCCGAATACTTCACTTCCGTCAAAGCCTCCAATCACCAATAACCTGCTGTCATATAACACCGTTCCGTGATATCCCCTACCACTGGGCGGTTTTCCATATACTTTCCTCTTGTCCCACGTCATCGTCACGAGGTTTAGTAGTATCACATCGTTGCAGTAGTCGCTTCCGTCATGGCCTCCAATCACGAATAGGTATGAACCAACGATCGTGGCCGTGTGGGATAAGCGTCTATATGTAACAGGTATGGAGACCGATTTCCAAATGTGCGTCTCCACGTCGTAGACCCATACGTCGTCAAAACATTCGCCGCCGTCTGAGCCGCCGAAGATGATCAGTTTGCTGCCAACAATGTTGGCTGTGTGGTAGCCGCGGGCTTTCGGGCGCAGGTCTTTGGTGGTTGAGCTGGAGCTTGATGTATTTTCAGGCCCGGATATGAGCTTCCATGACATTTTGGTAGGATCGGCGACGTCGAGTCTCCAAATGTCGTTGAGTGCCCTGACGCCATCGCCGCCTCCAAACATGTAGATGCCGTTCTTGTATAGGCATGCCGTGTGGGCTCTCCGTTTGGACGGGATCTTGTCTCCTATTATACGGGGCTTTGTCCACCGAAAATTGACGGTATCTAAGACGTATACATCATTGTAATATGCCGGGCCATCACCGCCTCCGAATACAACGAGCTTCTTACCCACGGCAGTGCAGGTCATTGCGCGTAATGGCATGGGAATATCGCCTACCACGTGCGGGACAGACCAGTAGAAGGCATCGGCGTCGAGTACATAGACTGTGTTGAAACATGTTCGCGCGTCACATCCACCAAAGACGTAAATATTGGACCCGATCAAGGTTGTCGTGTGAGCTCGAAGATTTGAGTGCGGCGATCCTGATACAAACGCTTTTGACCAATACAAGCCAGATGGCGGGGCGGGATCGACATCCGGCGCGTCCTTGGGATCGGGAAGTGGTGGGAAGGGGACGTGTTGTCCCCGAGGAGGTCGAGTGAGTTTGTAAGATTGCCGAGTTGTCGCTGCGGAAGATGGGGCATTTCGACTACTGGCAGCCACAGAGGAAGCGGTTCGCGAGCCCGTCGTCGGTCGTTTCTTCTCCTTCTCCTTCTCTCCATCCTCCAAGGCGGGTTCAGCAGACCCGTTTGAAACGGGAGGAGCCTTGGCTGGGTATGTGCCTGAGGTGGAACTGGATGCGACCTGGGAGGCGGATTGGGATCGCTGCCGGATAGCGACGTCGGAAGTCTTTCGTCGCTTGTCATTGATGCTTTTGCTGGCGAGATGGCCTGGTGTATGGCTCCGCGGCAGTGGGGCAGGTTCTCGATCGGAATCGTCTGAATCACGATATACTGTCGTGTGTTGGTTTGGCGAAGCGCTCGCGAGTGCCTTGCTCGATCGAGCAGATTTTGTCTTGGGCGCCTTGTGAGGGGAACGCACCGACTTGCCAGAGTCCGTCATGGCGTCACCAGCCGAAGCTCATCGCCTCGGCCACCGGGTGATGACAAGCGACGACGCCCTTTGTGTGGGGGAGACACGAGGTTGACGGGCAGGGCTGGCAAAAGCAAAGGGCGAGGAATTGGGTTACTTCATCAGGCTGGGAGAGTGCCATTCAATGTCCAAGTTAATTTGGCACAATGGGTTAATGCTGCCAATGCACTTCAATTGGGCTGCCATGGTAGTGAGATGGAGCATGGAGCAGGGAGCTGTGACGAAGCAGCAGGCCTAGTCGCTCTTGCCCACTTGCTACTCCCCGCCGACCCCACCAGATAAGGATAAGTTGTGACATGCGTATCAACGTTGGCAAAGAGTAGAAACAGTGGCGATACAAAACCCCGGCCTCCACCCCGGAAAATAAAACAAAGGAAAGGGAACATTGATTCAGATATCTAATTTCTTCCTTTCTTTTTTTTCCTCTTCCTTTTTACAGGTCCAACATACCAGCTTAGCAAATAGTATTCAGCATACAATGACGCAGGTGACCCCCAACTGTCTGCAACTGGCAGTCAATTACACACCAGGCGCCATTTGGCGGGCCCGTTTTTGACAGAATTTTTTTTGTCTCCGCCACCAAGTAAGCCCAACTTCAACAATACACTCGGGAGGAGGTGTAAAGGTGCAAATTTCCGCCGCAGCCTAGTTTCATCTCCTTCTGAAGCTACTGGTCGCCCTATGATCAACGGGCTGGTAAGCTACTTGCTGCCATAACAACCAGGCCCAGTCAACTCTCGTGCTTGAGAATCTCATTTGACCGCATCTTCTGACTACAGGGAACGAGGATACTTCTTGTTAAACATCACACCGATCCCCGCCATTTGAATCAGCCGTTCTTTTGAATCAGCCGTCCACAGCACTCTTAGGCACTGAAAGTGTTGACTCAAAAATGAACGGCCAAGAGCAGACTCCCGCTCCTGCTCCTGCCCCAGAAACGACACATCATGAACCTGATACTCCTGAGCAACCAGCTGCGAAGAGACTTAAGGTGGACGATGCAGCTCATTCAAGAGCAGGTTCAAATGCTTCGGAGGAGACTAACGGACAGGAGTCCCGAGATGTGCCAACAAACGGCAATGGCGAGACTGTTGCCGAACCAAGTGCCCCTGTGGCCCGTCGTGCTGGTGTAACACCAATTAAGAAGGAGTGAGTAATATTTACATAACAACTATAACTCGTTGCTCTCCTGACATGGTAAAGATACCTTCTGGCTATATCTACATCAAGAAATTCAGAATCACAGATGGCGGATGACGACGCCGCTGAAGGCCGTGGTGGTGATGACAGAGATCGCAGAGACAACCGCGGGGGTGCGAATGGCAAAAGGGGAAAAAAGGAGAAAAGAAAGAAGGGCCAGAACACCGAACGCTCTTTTGGCCGCTTCGGAGATTCCATCCAGCTCTGTAACAGTCGCGCCATGTACCCCGAATTCTCACCTCACCCGTGCAAATTCGGTGACGAGTGCCGCATGTCTCACGACTTGCGAAAGTATCTCGAAGAAGGACGTCGCGAGGATGTCGAAGCCTTTGGCGGCAAGTGTCCCGTGTTTGAGCAGTACGGCGTCTGTTTCTCCGGCTGGAAATGCCGCTTCGTTAAGAGCCACATGAAGGAGCTGGAGCACGAGGACGGCCGAAAGGAGCTGGTTCTCATTGATAACTCAAACATGACGAAATCCAACGGCGAAAACGGAGCCTCCAACGGCACAAAGCCCACGCCAACGCCGACCAAGGTTGCTGATGGTGATGAGCTTGATGCGCGCCGAGCGGGAATCTACAACAACGTCTCTATGAGCACCAAGATTGACCTGAACCGTAAGCGAATCGACTTCACCAAAGCAGACGAGTACATCAAGTGGATGGACGACGAAGCCACGCTCAACAACGCGTTCCACCATCGTCGCAAGGACCAGTCCAACGAGGGCATCGAGGACCTCCGCGCCCAGTTCGTCGACCCCCCCTTCAAACCCTCTGAAAAGCGCCGGCTGTACTTTGGTCCCGAAACACCCACTCTCGCACCGCTGACCACCCAGGGAAATCTCCCCTTCCGCCGTCTCTGCGTCGAACTCGGCTGCGAATTGACGTACTCTGAAATGGCAATGGGCATGCCCCTCCTGCAAGGCACAAAAGCAGACTGGACTCTCCTTAAGGCGCACGAATCCGAGATCCAACCGCCCGCCTTCAAGCCCAGCAGCAACAACTATGTCTTTGAAAACTACGACAACTCGCGCGACCTGCGCTTCGGCGCCCAAATCTCCGGCAACCAGCCCTGGGTCGTCACCAAGGCTGCCGACGTTCTCAACCGCTACTGCCCTCACCTGCGTCTTATCGACCTCAACTGCGGATGCCCCATCGACATGGTTTTCAAATCCGGCGGCGGCTCGGCTCTGCTCGAATCCCAGGGCAAGCTCGAACGTATGATACGCGGCATGAACGCCATGTCCGGCGAGATTCCCATCACCGCCAAGATACGAACGGGCGTGAAGTCGTCTCGCCCAACGGCCCCCTCTGTCATCTCCAAACTCGCCTTCGGATCGCGCGAGCACCGCGAACGCCTCGGCGCCCCCGGCTGCGCGGCATTGACCCTCCACGGCCGCAGCCGCGAGCAGCGGTATACCAAACGCGCCGACTGGAGCTACATTGGCGAATGCGCGGCCCTCATCAAGACCTACAACGAGCAAAAGGACGCCCTGGCCGACACTGCTGCCGAGCCTGACGCGAGCACCCTCCCCAATTCTAAAGACGGAAGGATGTATTTCCTCGGCAATGGCGACTGCTACTCTCACACGGAATACTTTGAGCATGTTTCCAAATCCCGTGTCGACACAGTCATGATTGGTCGTGGCGCCCTCATCAAGCCCTGGCTTTTTGAAGAGATTCAACAGGGCCAGTACCTCGATAAATCTGCCTCCGAACGTCTCACGTACATTGAGAAATTCGTGCGCTACGGTCTCGACGCCTGGGGCTCAGATGAGCTCGGCATCGGGTTCACCAGACGTTTCCTACTAGAATGGTTGAGTTTTGCGCATCGCTACGTCCCTGTCGGCCTACTGGAGGTGCTGCCGCCTAGTCTGAATGATCGTCCGCCGGCATACGTGGGAAGGAATGATTTGGAGACTCTAATGGCTAGTGGGAACTACAAGGACTGGATCCATATTACGTATGTTCTTTTTTTTTTCTTTCATTCTTTAACCCTTAATATTTCCTTATTGATATTGCTAACTCGCTTCATAGGGAAATGTTCTTGGGGCCGGTCCATCCTGGATTTGAGTTTCAGCCTAAACATCGGTCGAATGCTTATGAGGCAGAGGGCTAGACTGGATGATGTTGCATGGATGAATAGATGACAGAGTATACATGTGCATTAAAGGAGTAGAGTTGCTACACAATTGTGTTTCACATTAGGAGTTTGCTTTGCTTGTATGCAGCTGAGGTAGGTACCAAAACAAGAAACTCTATGCACTCTCACTTGGGACTGCAATCACGTACCAAGTCACACTCACAGCTCAGGGGAAGAGGAGAATGTGAATGAGCGTCTCAACAATAATACAATTCCTTTGTGACGTATTCTTGCCGGGATCTGACGATAGTAGCTATAAAAGAACAAGCACCCCTAATGCACTTTGGCCACATTTGAAATACCGCGCATCTTTCCGTCACGTCTGCCATTCTGGGTAACACAACCACCTTTTTTTTTTTAAAAAAAAACAAAGAAAACGAAAATGAACGGTCCTGTCCCTGATCGCAAGATCGAGAAGACATGGATTGCCCCCGAGGCGCACAAAATGTTTAGTCTGATCCCAGTAGATCTAGTCACACCAGATCTGATTCTAGCCAAACGCTTGCAATAAATAACGAGGCACTCAGAATTCAACAAATACAAAAACGTTTACCTCAACATCCTTCCTCCATATTATAAGCCGCGAAACATAGCCGCCCAAAAATGGTGCACCTCAGCGTACTTAGCCCAAGATGACTTCCTTCAGCCTGGCCTTCTCTCCACTGTGTTCGCACAAATCTCTAAAGATGCTGCCTTCGGTCTCCCACAGTTCGCGAGGAGAACCAAATTCAGCAACAGTACCCTCACTCAGTACAAGAATGCGGTCAAAGTCGGCAATGGTACTTAATCTGTGAGCAATAACAATGAGAGTGCTGTCAGTAAACTCCTCTCGAATGCTGCGCTGAATGAGAGCGTCGGTGGCCATGTCAACAGCGGACGTAGCCTCATCCAGGACCATAACCTTCGGACGCGAAACAATAGCTCGAGCAATGCAGAGAAGCTGACGCTGGCCTTGAGACAAATTGCCGCCAGACTCTGAAATGCCGCTGGACAGGTCGCGGAAGATGTTGGTATTCTTGGTGGCAATAGTCGACCCAGCAGTCGAGGATGCCTCGTTGGCGGGAGTGGCTGGAGCAGAATCAACCAAATGGACTCGCGACAGACACTCCTTCAATTCATCGTCTGTATGGTCGTCGAAAGGATCAAGGTTGCTCCGAACGGTACCGGAGAAAAGCACAGGATCCTGTCAATTGCGTCAGAAATCAATGTCACTGAAGGCTTTACTCGGATAGCATAACCTACCTGTGGAATAATGGCAAGACGGGATCGCAGATCGTAGAGCCGAATCTTGGAAATGTCAATTCCGTCAATGAAGACTTGACCAGATCTAGCTTCAAGGAATCGGAAGAGAGCCAGAGTCAGCGACGACTTGCCAGCACCAGTGCGGCCGATGACTCCGATGCGTTCATTGTTTTTGACATCGAATGAGATTCCATTCAAAACGGGAGGTAGGTCGTCCGCATAACTGACGACAAGATCCTTGACCTCTATAGCGCCAGTGGTAGGCCACGAAGCAGGAGGAATCTCCCCGCCCAAGTCCTCGGTCTCGACTTCCGTGTATTCAATCACACGCTCGGCAGCATTCATGTCTAATTCCAGGGACGCATACCCTCGGATGGCCATGAGCATATTGCCAGAGAAGTCAAGGGCGAACGACAAAGTAAATCCAGCCATGGCAGCATTAACAAATGAGGAGCCGACAACAATGGCACCAACCATGGTGGTGAAGACGGCCCCTATTAGTGCCATACGGAAACCCAACCAACGATTCAGAGTCCAAATATGGACAGAAATTGTGTCCCAGTTATCAAGGTAAGAGTGCATTCGACTGACGTAGGTCTGAGTCTTCTTGAAGGCTCGCAAGGTAGACACACCCGACAGCGACGAGTTGAAAAGCTCAAAGACAGGTGATTTGGCATTGCTCTCAATCCTTTTCACCGGCCGTGCACCAGTCAAGAATCGGACAGCGATGAAACTAGCAACAAATAACAAAACGAGCGCCAAGGGTAGCATGAGAGTAGAAACCAGGAGAGCCGCCACGCAGACACCCATCAGGCCCAAAACACGCCAGAACATAAAACCAAGGTCCATAGTGATTCGGTTGTCGATAATATCAAAATCGGCGGGGAGGCGGGGATTTGGCATTGCTCTCAATCCTTTTCACCGGCCGTGCACCAGTCAAGAATCGGACAGCGATGAAACTAGCAACAAATAACAAAACGAGCGCCAAGGGTAGCATGAGAGTAGAAACCAGGAGAGCCGCCACGCAGACACCCATCAGGCCCAAAACACGCCAGAACATAAAACCAAGGTCCATAGTGATTCGGTTGTCGATAATATCAAAATCGGCGGTCAGACGGTTAAGAACACGACCGACAGGAACGGTATCTAGCCAACGCAATCTAGTTCGCAAAACTGTGAAGAGAATTCTGCGGAACAGAGTCCTGGCAGCCTTGATGCTCATAATAAAGGACCAGACAAATCGCAAAGTACCAACAATTCCACTTGCCGTAGCGATAGCTACATAGATCCAGAGGTAATACGACAAGGTATGTTTATGCTCCTCACTGTACGTGACGAGTCGAGAAGCGGAAGCTGAGTGTAGGGTGCTGTGCTCATATGATAGACCATACAACATACCATGTTCACGAGACGCATTCACAAATGTGTGCTCCTCAGAGGCGCCTGTCCAAATACGTACCCACCAGTTACGTCCGAGATTACCGGCTTCAAAGGCAACGAACAAAATGACGCAAACACCCCAGAAAAACCATCCGCCGCTACTGCTGAGGAAGGTGCCATACACACGGGCTTTGACATTCCCCTTTGCACGAGCTTCATCTTCTATGAACTTCTTGGCGGTCTGAGATGGAACTTTGTGCAATGCGTTTGCGGACTCTTCGAGGTCCACAGCTTCCTCAACAGAAACTGCCTGGGAGTTGACAGCGGTTGGGCCGTCAGTCGTGTCTTCAACATAGACTTCCAATTGAGTTTGTTCGTGGCTCTTAATGAGTTCGAGAGTGCCATCCTCAGCGAGGTTGGACGTAAGACCAGCATGGAGGACTGTTCCTTCTCCGAGCTCGACAAGATACTTGGTAATGGGTTCGACTAGAGCAACATGGTGGGTGACAAGAATTCGGGTTCTGCCTTTGCAGATCGGACCAGATATGCACCTTTCAAAGATCTGTCGGCCAACATTGGCATCCACAGCACTAAATATATCATCCATGATGAGAATTTCGGCTCGAGAGTAAATAGCACGAGCCAGAGTAAGTCGCCACTTTTGACCGCCACTGAGATTAATGCCATTGGCGCCCAACTCAGTCTTGTCGCCATCATTTAAGATTTCAATATCTCTCTTCAAAGCGCAAACATCAAGAACGGTATTGTATCTGCTCTCAATGAAAGGCAAACCAAAAAGAATGTTGTCACGGAGTGAGGCGCTCTCAAGCCACGGATTCTGACCAACGTAGGCCACAGCGCCGGGAAGAATCCAATTTCCGGGGTGTGCCTTACCATCATGTCGTTCCAGGGGAGGAACAGTTCGAGGGACAAAAATACTTCCTTCCAAGAGGTCAGACTCCCCAAGGAGAGCATTCAACACGAGACTCTTTCCCGATCCAGTTTTCCCCGAAATGACGGACAATTCACCGGCCGGGAAAGAAAGGCTAACGTTGTTCAGAATGAATCGATCGTCATCTGGAAGTTCGTCATCGACAGGCCAAGCAATTGTCGCATTGTCAAAGGCTACATCGTGGCCTTCGTTGAGAATGTTCTTCATTTCGGGACCTTTCAGATATTTATCAATACGTCTAACTGAGACCAAGGTGTCGATTCCCCCAGTAAGAAGTTCCGGGAGAACTGATAGTGATACCTCCAAGCTCTTGAAGACTCCGATACTGACAAAGGCGACAGATGGCGCAAGCATTCCGTTGACAACAGCGTACACCGCCAGAGACGCTGCTGCAAGAAGAATAGGGCTTGCCACCCAAGAAAAGAATAACATGCTGTCAGCCTTGAACACATCCTTCAGCGACGAAATTTCGATTTCTCTCATTTCAAGGATCTTTTTTTCCCATTGGGCTTCCAGCGCTGAAAATTTGATTTGTCGCATGCCTAGCAAGGCCTCGTTGATTACTGCCAATTTGTTGTCACGATTCTTCATCAGTCGCGTCTCGGCCTTGAGATAAAATTTGGCGGCAAGAGTGTTCGCAGGAAGAACAAGGGACCAGGCCAGAATACCAGCACCGAATGGTACCCAGCCAATGAGCTTAACAAGATAGCCAGAATAAACAAGAAGTTTACCAATGCTACTAATGATGAAGAGTTGCATCATTGCAAAGTCGGCAATGTGTTTGGTATCCACACCGACGAGGTTCACAATTGCCTGGCGGGATTTCAGTACACTGTCTTCATCGTCTCCATCTTCTTCCTGCTTGCCCTTGTCCTTATCATTGCCCTTTGCGTCATCGGATGATTGGTCCTCTTTAGTTTTCTCTGCGTTTTTAACATTCTTTCGTCGAAGAGATTTTTCAAAGATAAGGGCTGCGAGCTGTCCTCTGACCGGAGCAAACAACTTGGTGATGGAAAACCAGACAATCCAGCCGTCCAGCCACTAGAGCGTCAGTTAGTATGTTGTGAAGGGCTCGAAAGGCCATTGGACATTTGGACTTACCTGTTCGGCGAGAGTGAAGAGCCCCATGAGAAACACGAGAGCCCACAGCTCACGAGATGTTTCAATACCAGCATCGCGGTCCTCAAGCATCTGGACAAGACGGAGCATGGTCCAGAATGGGCCAAGACCAATGATACATCGGAAAACAATGATGATCCATTGAAATACAAGACGTCTACCGTAGGTTACAAGCAATGATTTCAAGAGGCTGCCCTGGTAGTTCGCCTTGTTCCAAGCGTCGACAAGCGACTCTGCTCGGATAGTGTGGCCGGGTCTAGGGATATCTTTCTCATCCAGATCGCCTTTCCTCTTGGCAGTCTTCAGGAGGTCGTTGACCCAGCTCCAGGTATACCGGCTCAGAACGGTGGTAGACCACTCTGCATCAACTTTTTCGCCATTGTAGAAAACGTCCGGTCGTCGAGGCAGGCTTATGCAAAAAAAGGCCAGGGGAATCAGAATGACGGCATTGACGATTCGCACAATGAGGTTGACGTCTTTTTCTGGCGATGCAAAATTGCTCACATAGTAGATTTGGGCAGCACTAACGGCGGCAGTGATCAGGGAAGAGAGAAGGGCCCAAAGACCGAGGTCGTGAGACTTGACAGGCGAATGCTGAGCACCAATACAGACGGCCTGCAAGACAATGGCTGCCTATAACAACGGACCGACAGATTAGTGCACATGTTCAAGTAATGTGTTTTGTCTTCAGAAAAAATCTTTTTTTTTTTTCGCAAAAAGTCGTATACAAAATCATTTGCAAATATATTTATGAACTTACCCAAGTCCCGGTGGTGAGCCAATTTTCCAAGTTCAGGCCATCACCAAGGGGGTTGAGGATGGACAAAACGGTGGTAGTAACGGAGAGCCCAAAGCCAAGCACAGAAAAAACCAGGATACAAGCTTTTGGCTTCTTGTTTGAAAACGCAGCCATTGTCTCTGGCGTAGCCTTACCATCAACATCTTGATAGAAATTGTCTGGAGGCGTACGATCTCGGGCTTGGGCCAAACTGGCAAAGACTCCAGGAAGGGTGATGAGGCCAGTGGCTCCCAAGACCGCGGCAGAGAGCGGAAGGAGCATTGGGACCGCCATGTTGACGAGAAATTGGCAGGCTCCTTCCCAAAGATTGGGAGGAATCTCTACAATAACGGTCCTGCGGGAAGGCAACCTTCCAAGAGGACCGCAACAATCACCAGAGGAAGAAATCAGCTCAGCGACGGAAATGGAATCGCGATATGCAATGTCGCGATCCGCCCTCAAATAAGTGTCCGTGATGCACTATCGCCTCAGCGCAAGCGCCAGGCCAAGCAGAGGTAAAGCAAGACCAGGGAAACGAAACAGGTCAAGAAAACGGCCACGAAGTCCAATGGGTCATGAGGTAGCAGCCCATAAGCGCAAAACTGAACCAGGGCAAGAATATGAGGAAATAAAGGAATGATGAGTACGGAGAAGCTGATGCCAACAAAGAGGGAAAGGAGGTAGTTACTGGTTATTCAATCCCAGTAGTGGCCGCGCTACACACGGAGCACAGGAACATGGAACTAAACTTTTGTACTCTCGTTACGTGGGTGAGGAGTCATCGGGGAAGCCTGGCCGGGTTTAGGTCCAATGAACAAGGGTCAGCTATTTTTTCTCAAGCCAGGCTGCATGTCCATAAGCGAGAAATCACTCCGGCTATTGAGGTTGTGTCTAATTGATTCGGGGCTGTGATCGGCGATGGCGTTTGTACCGAATTTGACGGCGACCGTTGCTTTGTAATGTGGGAGGAGCTAAAAGAGCTCCGCTGGCTGAATGACAACACCATTCGGTAATAAGGGTGCTCAAGTGGATAGGATGCATGCAGGAAGTCTGTGTGGCAGCTGGTTCCCTGGCTGACTTGGGAATACGTGGACGTAGACCGCAATGAGGCTGAATTCTCAACGACGGAATTCGCAAGCCAATGTGGATTCTCAGATTACCGGCCTCAATTCACCGCTCACCCATCCGAACAGCTAGCTACCCACGGGCCCCGTACATACACTCCCATCCTTTCAACTCCAGCCTAAAAAGCAGAGCCTACGAGCAGCAGAAAATGCTTAATACAAGACCTGGCAGTCCCAAGGATAAGAAGAGCCATCGTGTTTAAGGCGGATATTGCCGTGTCGGGAACACCTAGCTCAGCCGCACGACCAGGCACAGCCATGGGTGAATGAAACATGGCGAATGCGTAGAGTTGATTTGATATATTTGGAAAAAAGAAAATCATAAATAAGACAAAACCAAACAGTGGAACTGCGCACAAAAGCAACTCAAAGACATGGTTGTAATAACTTCACCGAGAACCACAAACTCCATGCGCCACCTTGTCACGACGTCTCACCTCCCCCCCCCCTTCCCCTTCGAAACCGCAACACCAGCAAACATTCATTTGTATATGCACCCAACACCAGCCATGACGGACGACCAAGGCCGCAAGCCAGCGACCTTCAAAGGCCGTCTCCAACTAGACGCCTTCAAATACACCACCACCGAACCAATGCGCCGCAACCCCCCACGCGCGGCCTCAACCCCCATCCAGACCAGAGCCCAAGATGAATCCCCAACCCCGTCACTGTCCCCAAGAAAGCGCACATCATCATCGCCGCCAAAATCGTCACCAGAGAAGAAGAAAAAGAAACGCACCCGACAAGCAGGCTACGCACCACCCTCAACATACGCCCACCTCCCTCTGCTCCCAGACGCCATCGCCCACAACCTCCTCGTGCTCTTCGTCGGTCTCAACCCGGGCATACGGACCGCCATGACCGGCCACGCATACAACCACCCGTCCAACCTATTCTGGAAGCTCATGTACTCCAGCGGCGTCACGCCGCGGCGATGCTACGCAGAAGAGGACCGGGAAATGCCGGCCCTGTATTCGCTTGGGCTGACCAACATCGTGGCTCGGCCTACGCGCAACGGCTCGGAGCTCAGCAAGGCCGAGATGGACGACGGGGTGGCCCTTTTGGAGCAGAAGGCCAGGACGTACCGGCCCGAGAGTATGTGCGTCGTGGGAAAGAGCATATGGGAGAGCATATGGCGGGTGCGGCACGGGTCGAATGTGGGCAAGCAGTTCAGGTACGGGTGGCAGGATGAGACGGAGAATATGGGCGTCGTGGAGGGCTCATGGGGCGGCGCGAGGGTGTTTGTTGCGTCGAGCACGAGCGGTTTGGCGGCGACCTTGACGCCAGCGGAGAAGGAGAGGATATGGGGTGAGCTGGGGGCGTGGGTGAAGATGAGGAGGGCTGAGAGGGAGGCTGCCGAGAGCAAGGAGGAGGAGGAGGAGGAGGCCGAGAGATGAGGTGGTTTCGCATGAAGTAGAGTGACTGGTGAGAGGGGATAGAAGTTATATAGTATATTTTTTTCTGATGCTGAGCGTAAAAGAGAGAAGTTGGATTCACGACCATAATGGACAGTATAAGTGACATATTCAAATCATTGCTACTCGTCTACATACCACACTTGAGTTAAATCCTCGAAGGCCAGGGACCTTCCCAATCGTCCCGTTACAAAAAAGCGCACCTTCCTCTTGACTCCGTACGCCAAATTCAACACTCTATCGCCAACGCCGCCGTTGGTCCCTCAGGTTTCCGAGCCACCTTTTTTTGTTTACTTGCACCGTTTCTCGACGATACCGGCACCATTCTCCTCATACTCCTTTCTCGAAATCCACATTTGGTGGAAAGTTCCCAAACTGGCCAAAATACTGCCGCCAATCCAGGCACCGAATCGTCGCTCACTCGAAAGACCAGCTGCGTGGATCTTCACCTTTAGTCCGGGGTACATGGCTGTTAGTTCGTTGCTCAGGCGATCATTGAAGCCGTTAATTAAGCTAGTACTGCCAGTGACGACAACGTTCGCGAGTAGATTGCCGCGCAGGTCGACATCCACAGCACCCAGGGAGGCGCGGATGAGTTCGGGGATCGTTTGGGCCTTGGTGAGCCGTTCCGACTCCGGAACCGGGTATCCAGCATTCTCATCCCAAAGGCCTTCGGTGACCTTGAAGCGCTGCTCGCGCCACATTTGATTGTAGCCGTCGGGCATTTCGAAGACACGACCTGGCTGTGTCTTGATGTAGTCTTCGTTATTTGGGGCGCTGTACCGGCCTGGCCCGCGCCAGACCTCGACAACAGACTCCTTGAACTCGGTGAGAACCCGTTCTTCTTCGTAGGCGCGGAAAGAATCGGTTATCTGAAAGGGAAATTCCCGTAGTCGAGCTTGGGCAGGTGCTAAGGCATCGACGGGGGACTTGTTCTCCACCATGTATGTCGGTGTCAGTTGGACCTTGGGCTCAGAGGTCTCCCACATGTTGCGAATCTGAGATGAGAGCCAAAGACCACCCGCTGGAGAACGCTGGATGGATCGCTTCAGAACCATGCCATCGTGAATGGCGGTGACAGAGGTGTTGGCGCCACCCACATCAATGACCAAGGCAGTAGCCTTGCCAGCCGCGAATGCAGACAACACGGGAGTGCGGCTCAGCCAGAAGGCAGGGCACCCCCAATTCTCCATAATGATTTCGATGGCCTTCTCCCTCGACTTGGGCGTGTTCCATGGTGCCTCCGTCATCAAAAGGGGATTCTCCTGAAGAGGCTTTTCTTGGTTTTCAGCTTCATCCATGGCTATATCACCCTCGCCATCCTGCTCCTTGACGTCGTCGTTCAATCCGTTTTTTGAGGGCGGCGTTTGGTGCTCAGGTTGCAAGCGCTTGACGAGCATGTTCTCCCAGATCTTGGACGCGACATCCCAGTCCTCTACGACACTGTCTCGGTTCATGTAGTTGCGGATCTCGAAATCGGCGCGGGGAATGATGCATTCATCACCAAAGAGGTCGCGTTGAGGTTCGCTAGTGATGTGACCGTAGAACGAGGGCAGAACGGATTTTGGCACATCTTCGCCGGCGAAGCCTGCGCGAGTGTTGCAATAGCCGGGGTCGAGAACGAGGGCAGATACCTCATCTGGACGATTTCTATGTTAGCATTTGCATCCGCAGGATGGTTCGCGACACACTATCGCGAGGAAGACGGTTGAACGGTTTTCTGCGTACCTCCACCATAAATGTCGGTGGGCACTGCCGACGTGGACAAAGGCTGCTGGGCCATGATTCTATCTCGGCGCTCGTCGCGAATGTACAGCAGGACGGCCAATCGGTTGAGATGGTGGGCGTGGCCTGGGAGAGGATGCGAGATGGAGGATGCACGCGGAGGATGGTTAAAAGTTGCAGCTTCTTTTCTCAATTGGCTTGAGCTACGTGGTGCCAAATAGACTTGACAACTAGGACAAGGCTCTGCGCTGCTGTGCCTGGTCCGTCCGCTGGCTTACTCCAGCTAGCTAGCCTCTGTGACTGGCGGGGGCTGTTGCTTACTTAAGTAAACGCTAACAGGGGTGAGTCCGATATCCAAAATAAAAATTGGATAGTAACCGCAATCCTTTTCTCATGCAGCTCAATTTTCTCTTCGTGCAATCTCACGAGCACCGAACACTGGGGCAATTGTTCCGAGCGATCGCTATGACTGTAAGTATGCTCTCTGGTCTCTGCACTATGGAATCCAATCCTCTTTCTTCATGATGAATTCGCATATTCGCTTCAGAACCGCTGCGATTGACATGGCTTCGGCCGTGCGTGATTATACAATGCCATCACCTGACAAAACAAACTTCTCGTGGCCTACTCTATTTTTGACCAATTGGCGTGACTATTGGAAGCTAACAGCTTAATCAACAGGCACGATGAGACCATCTGCGTGCCTCCGACTGGCTCGCCGGTCGTCTGTCATCTCGCAGCGATGTTCTGCAACGAGCATCAGTCCGTCGATTCGGATAAGTAGCTCTTTGTCCTTGGAGACGACACACTTCCGAGCAGGAGCTCGCGGGTTCTTCTCAGAGTCAGTCAAGAAGGCATCGAGGTTTACGGGTGCTCAGGATAGCAGCGAAAGTTTGTCGCCGTTCAAGCAGCATCGGCGAGATGAGCTTCGCGAAGACCAGCAGAGTGACGATCCACTGTACGCTAACCCGTATCCTCGATTAGAATCTTCCGCGACTCGGAAGAGTGCGCCGGAGTTTCTTGAGGACTTCGATGAGCAAGCGCCTAGTGAAGAAGTGACGTTATCAGGTCGTGTCCGTTCAAAGCGTGTAGTCGGCAAATCCCTCATCTTCCTCGACATCGTGAACGAATTCCAGAAAGTGCAAATCATGGTCAACAAGAATAAATGTGTGTCAGAGAAGCATGGCCGCATTCAAAAGTTCTCCCTGTTTAAACACTTGATCCAAGTTGGCGATCACATCTGTAGGACTCCCATTGTACCAATCCTTGACCTCCCACTTTTGGCTGACAAGGTCTGTAGCGGTAACTGGTAATGCAACTCGTACCAAGGCTGGAGAGCCGACCCTCCAAGCTATCCAGCTCCCAGAGCTTCTGTCTCCGTCAATGGAGCAGATACCTGAAAAGCTCAACGACCCCAAGACGAGAATGGCAGACCGTCACGTTGATATGCTTGTGAACAGAGAAGTGGTTGACGTGCTAAGGTTGCGAGCCGAAATCACAAAGTACATGAGAGACCACTTTCATTCAAAACGCTTCTTGGAATTCCAAACCCCAATTTTGGCTGAAAATGCTGGGGGGGCGGTTGCTCGGCCTTTCGTCACGCAGGCCACTGAATTCCGGAAAAAGGACCTGGCTTTACGTATCGCACCAGAACTTTGGCTGAAGCGTCTTGTTGTTGGGGGTGTTGACAGGGTGTTTGAGATTGGTCCCGCCTTTCGCAACGAAGGCGTCGATGCCACCCATAACCCAGAGTTTACAATGTGCGAGTTCTACAGCGCCTACACCAACTTGGCGGACCTCATAAAAGAGACGGAAGAACTCTTGCACGGTCTCGCCAAACATACGCAGGAACTCATTTCAACCCAGCTAACTACCCTCCCACCAATCGACTTGAGCCGCTTCGTCCGACCCTTTAGGCAGATCGAATTCATCCCCGGCCTCGAAGAAGCTCTGGGAATCCGCTTCCCTAAGCTGTCCAGTGACGACGCGCTACCAGAGGTTCTCGCTGTCCTGAAACTTGCTGGAATTACCGTCCCTGGCGAAGTACCTAACTCCCTCCCCAAACTCCTCGACCGCCTCGCAGCTGTATATTTAGAACCCATGTCATTTCACGAACCCATCTTCATCACCAACCATCCGGTCTGCATGTCACCGCTGGCGAAAGGCTTTCTATGCCCAAAAACGTATCAACTGGTGTCTGCCCGCGCAGAACTTTTCGTCGGCGGCCGTGAGCTGGCAAACATGTACGAAGAAGAAAATGATCCCGAGGAGCAGAAGCGCAAGCTTGCCTTTCACCGTACTCTCGTGAATAAGCCCAATGGCGAAGTCGGATTCGAAGAAGCAGCTGGGGAGCGGGAACCTACACTCGCAGAAGAAGCGGAGATGGATGAATGGGAAGGGTCCCCGCTAGATCAGAGCTACGTAAAGGCCTTGGACTTTGGTTTGCCGCCCACAGGGGGGTGGGGATGTGGTGTTGAGCGGTTGGTGATGTTGTTTTCCGGAGCCAATCGGATTAGCGATTGTCTGAGTTTTGGGACGTTACGAAATGTAGTTGGCTTGTCGTCAGACGAGAAGGCTACTGATAGGAGTGTGTAGGACTTGGACGATGTATGAAAAGTCTAGTGCCTATTTGTATTACTACTTGTACAATACTTCATAGACAAGCAAGGTAGCGTTACGCTGGTCCCCATTTCATGTAGAGCGTTTATATACTCTAAATGTCGACTTCAAACAATATAACAAGCCTTCCAGCCACTAGAGGGAACACCCCATGTGTTGAGCTGTTTTGCAAGGGTCACGTCAGTGTGTGCAATGCCTAGATTCAGCAAGCCAAATTGACAGATTGAATGATGTACAAGAACAAAAGGATTTCGCTGCCTTTTCTCATCTCCTAAGTGCTACCCAAAAACGAATGTTTCCGAAAAAAAAAAATCACATTTGGCTGCAATAAAAACCTCCTTTCTGTCTCAGTACAATTTCCGCGCATATCCACCGAGATTTCACTCAGCTCGACAGCTGGAACAAGCTGCTCAGCTTACGCGCCTTCTCATCTGTCGGCCTGCTCAACCACGACAACACAGTCTCGTCATCCAGGCCCTTTGAAAAGTCCACATGATCCGGCAGCTTCTTGATCGAAACACTGGCCGTCTGTTCATGGAAAACAGTGGCCACCTTGATATACTCGTCCTGCGGCCTTTCGAAGTAATCCGGGCTCCCCCCGCCATTGGTCAAGTGGAGGGTGCTCTTGCACTTGGTGTCTCCGGGGGCCAGGACCTCGTAGATGTCGATCTCGCCGCAGCCCGTTCCCCAGCACGAGCAATTCGCGTACTGGGCGGTGCGGGGGATCGCAGCGTTGAGAGCCCAGATGGCGGGCATGTCTGGGTTTGCGCAGTCTTGGGACCCGGGGTTTGCGCCTGCCGGGCAGCGCGTCCCGTCGGAGGGCATCTTGAACTCAAAGAGGAAGACCTTGTTGGCGCCCCCGAAGCCCTTGTAGGCGATCTCGGGGACGCGGGAGAAGCCGCAGCTGGAATCGCATTTTTCCGCCGAGAAGATGGAGAATTCTGTGTTGGAGGGAATTTGGATGTTTTGGAGGATTTGGGGGGACGAGGCACCGCCGGTGCCAGTGGAGTTGAGATACGCGAGGGAAAGGCCCCAGACTCTAGATGTTTATGATTTAGTAGGTTTTCTCGGGCAGTCATCAAAAGGGGAAGTCGTCAAGGTGGTGAACGTACTCGTCGAAAGCCCCAGAACCCTGGCCGCCGTGGTTACCCATGAAGATGATGTTCTCGGAAACTTGCTCCTCGGCGTTGTAATAAGCCACACGGTCCCAGTCGGATCCTGAGGGAGCAGGCTTGCCCTTGGGCTTCTTGTCAGTAATAGGCTTCTTGCTAGCAGTAGCACTGGTATCGGCACCAGCATCCTTAACAGCAGCGCCTGCGCCAGCCTGGGCCTTGGGAACCGGGGCCGGGACAGGGTTGGGTGTGGCGGCAGGACCAAAGTAGTTGTTCTCCCATGTCACAACCTCGCCGTTGATGGTTGCAGTTACAATATCGGCTCGCTTGTCCCGCTGAGCACGGTGTAGAAACCGGTGGCCGTGTCTATGTCGTGCCGAGATCTTGGGTGTCTCGAGGCCAGCCTCGACCTCGCCTTCTTGCGCTAGGACTTCGGTATCAGATTTGCCAACGCCGACTTCAGGATCGACCTGATCACGCTTCTGGTATGAAGTGTGGTAGTAGACGGCGAATTGCATGAGTTTGAGAGGTCCTCGGAAATGAACAGAGAGCTTTGTAAGGTTAGAATGTTGCCCTTGAATGCATCATGTGTGCCAGGTCTTCAAGAGAGCTCGACAATGAGGTGATTTGACTTACACCTTGGTCCAATGGAGCCAATGATCCGCCGTAGGACTGATCTTCTTGAAGACATTTCCCAGAAGCGCTCATGGCGGTCACTGCCTTGAAACTGCCTTTGCCTTGGATCCCTTCGTAGAGGATCTGGTTCACGACACCACAGGACCAGATTCCGCCTTCTTTGACGGCCTCACCACTGCTGCATTGCTTAACGAGGGCAGTGGCTAAGCCTGCAGAGGCCAGCAGCACGGAGGCAGCGTACTTCATTTCACCTGAAAGCTATCAATGTTTATGAGCATGTCATCCAGTTTGAGAGGAACTATACCTTTGATGTCTTATATGTAATGGGAAATACAAAGTGTCTTACTAGCTGAATTCCAGAACAATCGTTCTAGAACACCCCTAAATAGATAGAAGACTCAACCTAGTATCAAGAGAATGAGGGGATTCACCAAGGCAAAAAGAAAAAAAGAAAAAAAGGAGTGACAGGTGAAGATTGCGTATGTGCCCTCTCACCGGAAGGGCAAAGGTGAATGGATTGACAAGAATTCCAGAAAGGACGAAAATATCACCAGGAACAGACGGGAGCAGAAGACGAGGCACGGGCAAGGGATCTGTTTTAGAGACTACACTCCAGCCCCTGTTTTATCAACCATCGTGACCTGATGAGGAAGCCGTGAACAGGGGTTCCAACACCAATTTGCTGTATTCGTTATGTAACCCTGCGTAAGGATTGCCAGAGGTTCTGTAAAAAAAAAAAAAAAAAAAAATATTTTTTTCCCCCCCTGTTTTAGAGACTACACTCCAGCCCCTGTTTTATCAACCATCGTGACCTGATGAGGAAGCCGTGAACAGGGGTTCCAACACCAATTTGCTGTATTCGTTATGTAACCCTGCGTAAGGATTGCCAGAGGTTTTGTAAAAAAAAAAAAAAAAAAAAGTACTTGTATGCCCCCCACCATTCTACATGATCCTTTTGGTTTATTGGCTGTATATACACCCCTGCTTTATACCAGGCGGTTAATAAAACAGCGGTTGGGGTATAACTGCCATGGTAATATGAGGGACCACGGCCATTGACCATCCACCGTGAGGAATGTATGCTTGATAAACGCTCCACAGCCGCCAAGAAGAAGGCCAATTTGCGCAGGCCTGACCCAAGCCCCTATTTGTAATTAGTTAGTCTGGGCGAGAGGGAAAAGCCTGTCAGCTCGTTGCCTGCTTTTCCCGCAACCCCCAGTTCCCGAGGCGAGAGGCGCGAGGAGGTTGGCGAGTTGGTTGGATTGGCAAGCAATTTGGCAGACAATGCCCCCCGGAAGAAGGGTAGAGGAAGTCCTGTGCCTTGGTTCTCCGCAGGAGACATTGACAAGGTAAGGGCTCCGTAAGGACAACTAAGCGCGCATCTTGGCTCCTCCGTATGCATGGCCTCATATGGAGATGGGCAGAGGCGTCGTCCAGTTTGAGTTGCAGGTGCAGGGGTTGGTTTCAAAACTGATAGCGGGAGCAAGGCGGCAGTTGACAGGCATCTGGAGGCTGCGTCGTCTGGAGGAATGGAGGAGAGAAAAAGTTGGCGACATGGATCAGTTCAAAAAGTTAGCCTGCCAAAGGTTATCGCGAGTAGAGTGCAGCGTGCATCGTGCAAAGAGCACGTGTTGAGGTGGTTTCGGATCGGATTTGTGTGCACAGCTCGACAAGGCAAGTCATGTCTTGTCATGGGGGCAGGAGCGAACTGAAGAGCCCAAGGCCCCCTAACCGAAGGAATGCATACTCCAGGTTGGCTGGGAGCGCGGCAAGGTGTTTTCTCTCGACCGCTCCGTCGAGTCTGACATGCATGAATCCAGCCTTCACCACGTCGCAAAGAACGCAGTCCATCCTTTACCAAGTCGGGTTCGAGCCGAGCCGACCGACACATGTTCAGCCGCTTCATCCGCCACATTGAGATTGGGCTGTGTGGTGGCTGTGGGCAGAGCCGCCTTCGATGCTTTAGCGCTCAGCCCTGTCACTGTAGCGGTGTCTTTTCTTCCTTGTTCCCTGTCGAAGGTGCGGATCGTCGTTCTTCAACCATCTGCAAGCCAGCATGTGTTGTCTAGGGCTGAGCGGCACAACCGGCTCTAGCAGCCTACTTAAGTATGTTTCAATTCCCCCCATCTTGTGTTGCCTTGCGACCGACGCACTCGCTGATCAGTCATTACCAGGATGCCTCGGGGAGGACGCGGATGCGCTGGTGTTTGACCGTGCCGAACTGAACCCTGGGGTTCGTCAGCACCGAGCATGTCAGCACATGGTTATATATCAACCTCCCAGTTGGCACTGGGTCAGTTGATTTGTCCGCTTGCTACCGCTACGTCTATGGGGTCACAATAAAAACAAGTTGTAGGCGCATCTTGTTCCCAGAATGACGGCCTCTATGTCCAGGCCACACTGGCTGGTCCCGAGCTTGATGATCGGGAGTCTCATATGCGGCATAGCCTTTGCACTCGGCCATCATTTCTTCTACGCGTCCTTGGATTCCCGGATTGTTCAAATCAGCACCCAACAGGAATGGAACATTCGCATTGGAACTGGCATGGCATTTTTGGTGAAAGCGTTCCTGACGGCAGCTGTGGGATTTGCGTACACGCAACTTCTTTGGACAACGTTGGCATCTCGCAATTCCACATTAGAAGGGATAGATGCTATGTTTGGCGTTGCCACCAATGCTTGGGACTTTCTCAGTTTGGAGCTGTGGCGAGAGGGACTTGGACTGGTTGCGATTGCTAGTGTATTATGGTACGTCTGAAGACGAGATATAACCATTTTCACCTCGCTCTAGCTACCCTTGCTACGAGGCGCATTCATCAGCCGTTGAGACATTCTTCGGTTTACTAATGGACTCGAATGCTCCAGGGCTTTACCCATTGTTGCCGTATTCACCCCAGCAGCACTTACGGTTCAACTGTCCTCAGAGTCCAACAAAACATCGCCTTCCTTTACCCACCTTGAACTTTACGCCTTAGCGACCCGCAGACCTTTTCTATATGGGGAGGGGACGGTATGGCTGGTTACGCAGCCCCTTCGATCGCTGTCTCCCGATTGGTGTCATCAGTCGCTTCCCAGGGCTCAATTATTCCCATGAAAGCACCCTATCCGAATAGCTCCTTTTCAACCACTTTTCACGCTCCTTCGTTATCATGCCGGCCAATGGGAGGTGGCCCTGAGTTTCACGCTGCATTTGACAAACTTTTCCTGAATCTTACCGAACCAAATTATGGAGCGGGTAGCATAGAGAAATCTTTCTTTAGCTTCGTTCCTCAGCATCCGCCGGCTTTAAGAAAAAACGAAACAGACGACAGGAAACTCAGAACTCTTCGCGGTTTGCAAGCAATCCTCGATAAGGCTGGGTTCGCCATGACTGTGGACAATCTTGAAGACCCTACATCTCCTTGCTGGTTTTATTTCGGGTTTCCGATCGCCCAGGGATACGCGAATCGGACGATTCAATGTGGACTTTATAATTCATCCTACGATGTGGAGTGGAAATACAGTAACGGTGAACAAACCACCACAGTGCGCAACATGACGAGACTTAATCCTGTCAGCGCAGTCAATGCAGATAACAAGCTAATGTATTACGCCAACGGAAGGCCTGATGTTCCCTATGTAGCTGTCATGGATGCATTGGGCGCCTTACTGATGGGATGGATACAATCAACACGTTTCGGCGTCTTGTGGGCATCAAGAACGCAGATCCTGTCCACCGTCCTTACCCAGACTTACGAAATGCAACACTTGCGACACTCGGCTCTGAAAATTGTCCCAGTAGAACCACAATCGTCACACGAAACAAATCTTACCATGGTGGAGGCCATGGAGCAACTTGTAACCAACATCAGCGTGAGTCTTTTCAGTGTTGAAGACTTCCTGTAAGTCTCCAAGAGAATGACTGCTCGCCTCGGGGAGACGTGCTGCTGCTAAGCATCAGCGGCAAAATGCAGAAATGATGAAACGGGCAGCCCAATCGGGAACATTACCTCCGAGTCTCCCCTAAATGAGTACTCATACAATCCCCGCAACCTTTACGCCGCATATGGGACCGGTATTATTGTAACATTGGTCGCGGTGATCATTGGTCTTGTTTGTATCACGGCGTCGTCAAATCGTACAAGTCTAATTGTTCCACAATTCTGCGCACCACACGAAATGAGGAACTAGATGCTGTGGTAACTAAGGGAGAAACAACTGGGGCGGAGCCGTTTTCAAAACACCTTGGCAAAACGAAGCTCAAATTTCGGTGCAATCCGGCTGAAGACAACCCATCCAGAGGCTCAGCGTTTTCTGTCGTTTCGGGCGGGGAAGCTTGTAGTTATGAGCCTGTGAGCGCGATGCCGCGTGATTCCTCACCCTCCCGATCAGAGCGCAATACCACCTGATGGTAGTAAGTGCGAGTAATAGAGACAAGTCTGAGTATATGAAGGCCGTCTGATGCTGAGATCCTAGCCAACGCGTCTGCCCGGCTCTCAGAGAGCAAGATCTAAGACCGTAACGGAAAACCCCATGAACAAGGCCGCCATGATACCAATGGAGAAATGAGAGTAGTCTGCTTCTAGGCGGCGAATACAATGGCTGATAGCCCAGAGGGAAATGAGTACTACGAACATCTCGCCTGGGGCCAACAGCGGGAGAAGACATGGACAAAGCGTGGACAAACCTTGGCCAAAAGTTGGAGGCCAGAGTTTCGAGACCAAGAATATCACTTCAAGTCCATATACTGGCTGAAAACGAAAAGTTAGTATGACTTTTGTGAAACTGTCTCTGTCACTGGACAAAGAGTTGAGACTTAGGACCAGGCTGTTTTGGAAGCATTATGCAAAGTTGACCGATGCTAGATGCGCTGGTCATGAAATAAATTTCTGCTGTGGCTCCGTTGGACAGGAGACTATTAGACATGGCAATCAGTGTACATGCAGATCAGAAAAAGGTTATGGATAGTCGACAGTATAATGCCCCGAAGCAGTGGATTCTACGGAGTAGACATAGTATATATGAGGCAGTGGTGCATGAAACATCCAATCTCTGTGCGCGGATATATTCATGTACGCATACTGCATCCAAAAGCGCTAGATGAACTACGTAGGGGTGAAAATTGTGCCAATTTAAAGTCTAATAAACAACACGAGGAGAATCCACTTTAGCATCGACGAAAGCCAAATCGCTCAGGGCCAATGCCCGGCCCTCGCTTTCCCCTGAAAAATTCTGGTATTCGCTCGTCATTAAATGCCGTGGCGCTTCTGACCCTCTGCCTCTTTAATGTCCAAGAGCCCTGCCAAGTCTCGTCACTTTGAACCCCCTAATCTCATCTCCCTTGGAAAGAGGTTGTCGAGCTCAAGGTGGACCTGCCAAGAGCATCAAGATAATGAATGTCTCCTCACATTATTGCGCGGCGCGGCATAATTACATGCCAGCCACACCGGTCCGCTATTGTGCTCTTAACGGGCCTGTCTTATTTTACAAGGAATGCACAGGGCAGCACTATGAGGTATGAAATAGCATGGGTGCATCGTTACCAGGCCAGGGCCGGCGGTTTGCAGGCCGATCTGAAGTGGACCGGAAAATAGTACCAGGTGACATGAGGTGGGGGACTGGTGCTCGACACAGAGTAGACACGATATTGTCACGGATGCTACTCGGAACTTGATGCTCGTCGGTGCGAGCAAAACCCATGCCTCTTGATACACTTGCCGGTGCCAACGCACGCTCATCCCGCAACGGCCCGTGTCGTGAAGCACAATCTAATCCCCGAGCCCGTCCCATTCAGCGTCGTCTCGCGCACCGCCCTCCACCCGCCGCCTCTTATTCGCATCAATCGCCCCCCGCCTGTTATTCTCTTTCCTCCGCTCATAGCCGCTTTTCGAGGTAATCTTGGCCTTGCTCCCGCTCCCACTCCTCCGTGACTCAACACCCCTCTGCTTGAGCTTCTTCCTGTCGTCCTTGCCCACATTCGGCAGCGCGTCCAGCAGCCACTTCTGCACGCCTGCCTGGTCGCCCGTCCTGCCAGCCTGCTTGTCGCTCACGGCGATGACGTTGGCCACCGTCTTGACAAACGGGATGTCTTCCTTTGTGTAGAGCGTTACGGCGATGCCGCCCTCGCGACCGGCCCGACCGGTCCGTCCGGCACGGTGGACGTAGGCGGCTGCCGAGCCGGGGACGTCGTAGTTGACCACGCCGTTGACGCCGGCAAAGTCCACGCCGCGGGCCAGGACGTCGGTGGTGATGAGAACCCAGATTTCCCCGGCGCGGAACTTGCGCATGATGGATGACCGGGCCGAGTCGGCGAGGGCGCTGTGTAGGGCAGCGATTCTGGACGGGCCGCCGGCTTCCAGGGGGATGTCGTACTTGAGTTCGTCGTGGAGGGCCATGGCTCTGTCGATTGTTTGCGTGAAGACCAAGAATGGAGGTCGCAGTGGCGGGCCGGAGTCGTCGCCGCCCGCTGGGTGTAGAAGCTGCCGCAGGGCAAGGAGCTTACCCTGCTCGCTGGCCGCGTACGTGAGCTTGTGCACAACATTTGGCACAGCGGTGTCTTTCAAGCCTACTACGAGACGGATAAAGGGCTTTGGTGTAATACCCAGGGCTTCTGCCCTGTCCTTCAGCTTTTCGGTGACCAGAGCTTCAATGTTTGAGCCCATTGTTGCAGACCAGAACGACAGTCGAAGTCCGGAGTTGGTGCAAGCCGTCCACAGGCTCAGCGTTTGCTCTCTAAACAACGGGTCCAGGAGAACGTCTGCCTCGTCAAGAATAAGCTCCCTGACTGTCGGCAAAACCTTTTGCGTGCCGCTAGATCCAGCAGTCAAAAAGTTTAGCAGCAATGCTGGCGTCGTAACCAGAATGTCTGTTTTTGTAAGAGGATGGGGTTTAGATGTCCTGGCCCCGCGCTTCTTATCATCGTCGGACTCTGATTCCTCGTCGTCCTCCCCATCGAGCTCGTCATCCGAGCTATCGTCTGCTAGGACCTGCTCCTCTGCAGAGAGTTGTGTAGTCTTCCTCATAGCCACAATCTTAACACCGGTTCGCTGTACAAGCTTGCGGCCCTCATTGACAATCTGATGAACCAATTCTCTCGTCGGTGCGATAATTACAGCCTCGAGCTCATGAACACCTTGTATGTCTGCTTGCGCTCGTCTCCGAATGATGCTGTTGATTGTGGGGATGAGAAAACTGACTGTCTTGCCGCTGCCCGTGGGTGCAACAGCCAAGAAATCAACACCATGATCCAGATTCTCCTCGTTGCCGAGAGCAACCTCGGGGCGAAGCAGTAACGGGAGACTACCCATTTGCACTTCTGTAGGAAGACGGTAGCTCTGCTGGACAAGATTCTCCGCAATTTGGCGGGATATCCCATATGTAGTGCGAAGGTGGCCAAAGGACTCCAGGGGCTGAGGAAATAACTGCTTCTTCTCGTCCTTTTTCCCCTCAATGACCGTCTTCTTCTTCTTCTTTGACTTCTTCACCTTCTTCTGCTCTTCGTGCTTTGAGAGCAGCGTAATCTTGAGGCGATGCGATCGCAAAAGTTGTCGGCATTCGTCCTCGGTCAATTTCTTGGTAGCCACAGGTGGTGGACTAGGTTCTCGCTGGCTCTTTTTGGTTTCAGCCTTTTGATTTTCGGCGGCCTCTGGTTTGGGCGCGAAGAAGTCGACAACAGGAAGTTCTGTAGGCACTGGGTTCTCGGCCTGCTCGGCGCCACGTTTCCTTTTTTTCATGCCACGGATTTCATCATGGTATAGCTGAGGATTGGTCTTGGTGCCCGCAGAGGGGAGCTGAGCGTTGTTGGCATTGAGCCCAGAGCTCTTGGAAGTCTTTCTAGTCCCGCGGAACAAGGTTTTGAGAGTATCCATGGCGGCTGTGCACCGGTGCCAGCAATAGGGCTCAATGAGTGGTGGTGGTGCGACAAGATGCGTGGATGGTACTTTGAGGTCAAGTGTCGGAGCTTTGGGAGTTCAACACGAAATTTTGTGACTGCAGAATATTTATACAGCCTTGCTGCAAGGCTGTGGTGGGGTGTGGGTCCAGAGGTCACCAAGTGGCGCTGGCCATTGGTGCCACGATCACTCCGTATAAATGACTTACCCGTCAGCATCAGCGACTAGTTGCCGACGAGTCAGTCCCAGTGTCTGTGTCTGAGCAAGTCCCATCACCACGCCCACGCTATGATGACATCTCAACCGGCATAGGATTCGTAGAGTAGTATACAGTCCGATATTCTCCAGAGCCGCAGCCATTCCTCAAAACACCCAAACGCCAGAGCAAACGTCACTGATAGCCACGTGTCCAGTCCCAATGCAAAACCAATCAATCCTCCTGATCAAAATGCTCCCTCCCCTCACCGTATAAAATCTCGCACACACCCGCCAGCGGGATATCCATCACCGCATCCGTGCCCTCATTCCAAATCTCCCTCCACTTCAACCTCCCGCTGGCGTCACACCTCCTCTCCCTCTTCCCACTCCCCTTGATCCTGCCCTTGGAATCAATCACGGCCAGCTTGCCCGCGCCGTCGACAATCGTCTCAACGCTGCTCATGGGCACCGTCAGAATCTCCGTATTGTACGCCGCCAGCGCCACGTATATGTATCCCAGCGTCATGACCAGGAAGGCCGGCACGGCCAGCGCCCACCACCGGTCGGGGTAGTACTTGATCCCCAGCGCGTGGAGGAACGGCGCGGGAACGTAGGCCCAGAGCAGGTACATTAGAAACGTGAGGCTGCTGAAGAGGTACAGAACGAAGCCGTAGTATTCGTACGTGGGGACCTTGGGTGCCGCCCGGGGCACGGGCGCAATGTTTTCATCGTCGGATGGGTCCGGAGTAGTTGGTCGGGATGGCCTGAGAAGGGATGTGAGTGATGGCGAGGGAGGCAGAGGTGTTGGCGGCCGGCCGTAGAAAGGGGGAGCAAAGTAGATTTGGGAGAGAGGTCGCGGGGGAGAGTCGCGGTCGGAGCTGGAGCCGGAGCCGGATGAGAGGCCGTTGGAAAGGTAATCTTGGTCTTCGTCGGATGAGATGGACACGGCCATGGCGGGCCTAATTGGCGCAACTGGCGCAACCGCGCCGTGCTCTGTGTGTTTTGTCTCTGTCGAGGAGGATGCCGTGGTCGTGGCGTTGCGTCGATGTTTGCAAGTCGAAGAATGTGGGGAAGGAAACTTGGATTCGCCCACCTCCCCCGTCTTCGAGTTGGCCTCGTCACCGGGTTGCCCATCAGCAATCCGCTCACATACAACAGGGACATTCATATCCAGTGAGAACACCAACACGGTTGATCAAATATAATTGCACCGCAGAGTTTCATCCAAAATGGTCAGCAAATGCATCGCTATGTCGCCGTCATGCATCTATGTTACATTCATGATCCTTCACCCGTCAATGGGACACTTGTACTCGCGCTCCCGTCCACCAGCTCCATTCTCCTGCTTCTCCTGCAATGATTCCAGACAGCTCTGGTGATAGATGTGCCGGCAGGCGAGAACAACAAGCCTTCCAAGAGGAGCCTCTTTGCCTGCCACCGCAGTGTCCGACTCGATGAGCATGCTGGATGGCCGCACAGCCAGACTCTTTCCCTTGTCCTTGCCATCCGACTCGCCCACTTTGCCTTTAGCCTTCTCTGCAATACGTATCTTTCTCTGCTTTCGTATTTCATCTTCCACTGCCTGCTTGTCCTCCCAAGCCTCGAAAACAGAGCCACCGGCAACCCCAGGACCCCAGACACGGCGACCGCAAGCTTCGCATGTTGAACCTCGAGGTCGCCACCCGCGCTGTCTCAGCTGTACCGACTGGTTCACGTTTACAAACAGATTTCGCTCCAGGAGCCGGTTTGACAGCCGTAAGATTGACTCTTCATATGCATACGCTGCAAAGATTGATGACAACACACTTCGAAGATCCGCTAGGTTTGGTGATGATGCTGCAGCATTAGCAAGGAACGCCCTCAGTATTTTTAAAAAAGAGAGATTATTGCCTGCATTCGACAGCAAATTCGACCCGGTTTGAACGCGGATTGGACTAGAAGTCGCTGTGAGCAGTGACGTGAACGTGTGTTGAACCAGCGAACGAAGAAGCGTCAACGCCTTCTCATCCTTCAAAACTGAGCTCTGAACCTGTTCGAGAATAATCGGGGACAGTCGTTTCGTGGTCTTTACACACGCGTCAATCAAGCCAAGCCACAATGCTTCATCTTCAGATAAGCCATCTTGCGCAAGTGGCTTTCCGTTTTTGACGACATTCACGTTCTTCGATGTCTTTGTCTGGCCCTGGCAGAGCCAAATACCAACATGGACATACTTTTGCAAGCTTTCAAGTATTTCCACTGTTGACGAGTCAGCATCTACATCATCCGCAGAGTCATTAGATGCGGTCAAAAGGCCCTGTAGTGCTGATTCTAACGTGAATAAGTGCTTGATCAGCCGGTCCATCGCCTGATTAACTTGGCCATCGCGAGCCATTAGAACGACTGCTGCGTCAACAACACCGTTTTCCTCCATGGTTGGAAGAAGTTTATCGAGACGCAAATCGGTTGGGCGCATAGCTTCAACAAAATCAGAAACATGCGATGGGTTGAATTTACACATGAGCTGTACATAGCACTCGGTTAGCTCCTGGTCCTTGATGTCGCCTTCGTCATCGCCTGATTTGCTTGGCTCTATAAGGGCTCTTAAATATGCATGTTGCAATGCTGCATCGTCTGTGACAGAGTCAATTATATGTCTGTGGACCGCGGTTGGTTGTCGCGCAAGCGTCTGGGCGGTTTGCTCGGGACTGATTTCAAGCAGGTCTCTTGCGTGCTGTTCGATAACGTGCTGTACTTCCTCTGCCTGTCGAATGTCAAGTCCCTTCTGCGGGCGAAGGCATTCTGCGATGCATTCAAATACAGACTCTCGGTCATCGTGGTCCTCGAAGTAGGTGGCAATGAGCTTCCCATACTGTTTCTCCATACGAAACACGCGCTTGAGAATTCGGTAGAAGCCGGCCTTCTTGAACAGAAGCATGAACGATGGCATATCTGACGGTTGATAAACAGAAAGCAAATATTCGGCGCTCAGCTGTGCATCCTCTGCAAGATCGTCGCCGGGATAAGCACAAAGCCCTGTGAGGACTTTTGAAAGGGTAGAGCCAGAAAACAGTAGATATTGTTGAAATTTGGGCAGATTTCGAGCGATGAACATGTCGAGATAGATGGTATCTTCCGGGGCGAACTCATCTGGGTTCATCACATCGAGCAGAATCGACACCACGTACTGACGATTGATTGTAGTGCCGAAAATCTGCTCCTCGGGCATATCCATGCGTGATCCTCCATTAACTTGATTCTCTGGAGAATTATTCAAGAAGGAGTCCTCAAAAGCTTCATTGAGGGCGCTGAGAAAGCTTGGGGCGTCAAATTTGAGAATCATTCTCAGGTAAGGGAAAGCAGGCTCCGACTCGTCACCAGGCCGTGTGACGAATTCTTTCCCACTTCCCCTGGGCCACTCTATTGTCGTGCCAGAAAAGAAAAACCAATAAATTTCTGCCTTTGCTTTGTCCGCCGTTTCTTCATCCATCAATTCCCCAATAGGATACACCCTACCTGTGAGTGTATATGAGAGATATGGAAATATTTTCAGAGCATTGACGCTGAAATAATCGTCTTCGGCTATACCGTTGTTTGTTCCATTCGTTACTAGTGGCACTAGGAGGCCCAATAGGTCGACCATTGGCGTGATGTAATCATTGAGCGCTTGGTTCCAAACGTAAGTTAAGGCATCGTACAGACCGTGCTGCTTACACAACACTGTGATCTGATCAAGGTCCAAAGTTGCCGTTTGCATATGACATATCATTTCTTCGAGTCGACCTTCCCACCCCTTCGTAACGTAATGACTGACCATATCTTTAACAACCGCTGGCGGAACGACCGTGATTGTTCCCTCCAAGATGTAGGGTTCAAGTGTCTCCAGGAAGATTCCACCAACATCCCCGTCGCTGTACCATTCGTACATGTCTTCAAATAAGAAATCCGAAGCTTCAATAGCTTGAGATGCTGCGAAACAAGTCTCTGCCAGCTCTCTCAAATGATCTGCGTCGTCATCTTGCTTACCCCGTTTCTGCCGTCGGGTGAAGACGTATTTCAGGGAAGCTGACATTATCTCCATTATCTTGTCTTGGACCATCACATGCCGTAGTGCTGCGTCCTCTGGAAGGCCAACCGTAAGTTTATCGGCGTCACCAGTATAATAAGAAGTCGCCAGCTTGATGGCACCGATGTAGTCTCCATTCTCCATCATGGCAATGAGACGATCGGCCCAGTTCGACAGTGCTCCTATAGAAACTTCGTTGAAGCCAAGTACAAACATCCTCCCCTTGTAGGCTTTGAAGCTCATATAAAAGGCATCAGCCACCACTCCATGCATAGTTGTGTCCTCCTCATCCAGCTGTTCAACGAGAGTGTGAAGTTGTTTCGAAAAAAGATCTTTGTGATATATGTGTTTCTGTAACAAGTCAAACGCCTCGGTCATGCGCATGCTCCTGTCCTCCAGTATGATAAGACGTTGCGAGATGGTCAGCACAGCCAAAACAGATCGACCTAGCCACTGCACCGCGGCGATAGCCTCTTCACACTTCCATCTGCTTCGCGCCTTGAACTTTAGAGAAGGAGGCTGATCTGCATCCTCTCCGTATATCTCCTCAACATCAAGAACAGTTAATACGTTTGACCAACAGTAGACAAGTTTTACTCTGGAAATATCGCTCCCAGTGTGGGTATCGGGACTTTTCAGCTTGACAGCAGGGAACCAGGCAAGGCAGCCGGTCATGGCGCTATGTGCTAGAACATCCTTTGGTCGAGCTGACTTGTGTTGCGTCTGGGCAACAGGGGTAGTCGAAACGACCACGAGAAGGTATGGCGTAAGTATAGCGGTAAGTCCCATGTTATCCGTCGCTTGCTCAACGTTTCCAAGGGGCAAGGGAGCAAAACCGAGCACGGTGCTCGGCTTAATCGATTTCCCAGCAGGTGCCGGGGCATTTGGATAGCGGCCCAAGATCCGGGTAGTTTTCACTGTTCGGCCGAGCGCCCCGGTGCCTCGGGTTGCGAGATGCGAGAAGGCCATTCCACGGTCATCCGCTGACACGAGAGCTGTGTGCCGCGTACCAAGGAAGCCAAGGTGTACCACGGCTGCATTGGGGACGTGTCCGTCAGTTGTCCTGTTTTCCGCTTGCGTCTCGTCCAAGTGCGGGATGGTGAGAAAAGGCCGTGATGCTCGGCTGGTATCCCAGGTAAAGATATTTCCATTGGCATGCCCTCCAGCAACGGTAGTGTGATCCGCTGATATAGCGATAGCCGTGATTGCCCCAGACTCGACGGCTAGTTGTTATCAGCGATGTGACGTCAATATTGTGCAACACGAAGAAAAGCGTACCTTTGGTTCCTGGCCCTATTATCATTTTCAGATTTTGATTAAAATCAAATATTAATATTATACCCTTCGAAGTGCCCAAAACTATGGACGCGGACACGGCCAGTGTGGTGGGAGATCCAAAGTTTCGACGACCAGCCTCTGAGAATGCTTGGGCATTCATTTTCCGCAATCTTGTCCATCGTACAGCTTCCCACGGTGGTGACGGCGTATCGGTTTCATTTTGGTCCAGGAAAAAATTGGAGCCAAGAGAGGCGTTTCGACTGTGCGGTGATAGGAAGGCAGGCGACAATGGGCGTGGTGTGTTGGACGAGGACGAGGATATGCGGGATTGAAATCGACGGTCGAATGGTCTGAATGATGGTGATGGGCTACTTAGGCCGGCTCTTGAAGCTACTGGAGGTAGAACACTGCTGCCTGGTGACGACATATACGAGCCCTTTTACGATGTTAGCCAAGTACTACATGAAGAATCAAGACTGTGCAGCTTCGCGTACCTGGATGGAATCTCCCCGACCGGAGGTTACAGAGTCGACAGGACTACCAGCTCGCCGTGGCAGCGAGTCTACCAAACTTGCATCAATTGAGCTCACCTCGGAAGCATTTGCTTCCTTCTCCAGCAGGTCTCGGCGATGGTCGACATGGTGCAGCTCAGTGCCATTGCCCGTCCCTTGCTCCTCAAGGTGGGGGGTATCGGAGTCTACATCTTGCCCAGGTGCTGTTTCCTGCTCGCCACTGAAGTTGCTGTCTCCAAAAGGAGATGTGACTTCTGGATCGGACATTGTAGTGTGGTTTCCATCACTCGGTTCGGATTTGCGACAGGCTGGAGCTTTAGTCTTGGGATCGGAGATAGGTGCGGACGGCTTCGCGGGATAGTAAATCGGTTCGCAGAACCCTGGTGAAGCTGCAATAGAAAATTCCAGAGCGGCCCGTTAATGGTCAGGTCGTGCCGTATCTGCTTTGCAACTGAATGTGTACAAGAGGCATAGCGTTGCGTTGCTGGTGACAGCTCCAGCCTCCAGCCTTGGAGACATGTGGGCGGGACGTAACTGGCGGGCGGTTGGGTGACTTGGGGTCTTGGCCAGTTGTGGTTCCTCAAGAGAGCGGGCCGGGGATTTCCCGGCGCAAGCATGCAGCCAACGGCCGCCCACGTTCAATGTTCCGTGGGTGGTTCCTGCCGCTATGGCGTGTCAAGTGTCACGCACGGCCAGCATCTGCCGCACGCGTACCAAATGCAGCCATGGTCATAAACGATAACCATCCTGCACTCTTCGGCTCTTTGTTCTTTGTCCTGCTGCCAAACGCTTATCAGAGTCCCATCATCCCCTAGTAGGTACGCCAATGCCACCATGGCTGCTTTGACGGTAGACGGCCTGAATTTTCGTACATCTTCAACAAACGGTTTGACGGTTTCGGGATTACCATCAACGCGAGAACCGCTTTTCCCTGAGGACAGCGCAGCAGTAGATCTCGCGAGCGTCCCAGTAAACGCCAAAACCTCCAGGAACGCTGCTGATCACGGCCGTAATGGGACCAGCCATGAGTGCCTCGGCGTAACTCGAGCCCCAATCCCTCTTCTGCTAACATCAGCTGGCCGTAGATATTACAGTCCTTTTCTCACAGAACTACAACAAAAACGAGTATAGTCTCTGAAGATGGTCTTGTTGGCTTTGACGCTTTTCATTTCTAAATGGCATGTTAGTACCAGAGGATTCTGCTAGTAAAGCAGTTCAGAAGTATATGGTATACTAATCTATAAATAGTATTTTTCTTAGCATATATTGTACAATAATCAACGCCTTTTATTTTGCAGGTTCCAAGTCAGGATAACAGCATCAACCTAAGCTGCGTTATTACGTGCATAAATTTCCCAACCCGGAAACCAATTCCAGCCATTGTACTCCGTAGTTTGGTTCTGCGTGACCGAAAGGGTACACTTGGAAGCTGGGTATCGGGGATATTCGTCCAAGGTCGGCTATTACTGCGTCTTTTTTCTCCATGGCTCAACAATTCAATCTAATACCCGTCGTGACATGGGGCTGTAGGTATTTGTCCGTCAGAGCCTAGTTATGTCCATAAAGAAGCGCTCCCTACCAGACTTTCTCGAGACGGACAATGTATAAAAGCCGGCACAATGCGATGGAAATGGTTGCGAAGACAGGGTATCGAGGTAATCAGGGGATTAAGCCGACAGAAGCCGAATAAGATTGGACTCAATTAAATCAGGATGTGACAATAAGCGGCAGGCGGCCCGCCAATTTTCCCCGGTTTTCAGAGACATGCATCGGCATTACACCCTAGTGGCTTGTCATTCTGCTAGTTACGACTACAAGGATACTCGGTAGAAACAGTGTCTCATACACAAAACTCCTTCACCCAGAGGACGAGGGCCGGATGGTCGTTGGAAGGGGCGGGCTGCGGTGGTTGGAGTGCCTTTGCTGGACGAGTCTTTCGCTGGGAGTCACGGAGTAAGGAATCAATTTTGAATGGATAGCTCGATTGATTATAATGTGGCTCAGCCTGCCGACACTAACTCTCAACCCCAAGTTCTATAGTGAGCTTTCCGAAGAGCTGTATAGAAATGATAAGACGTTAGTTTCGTCTGAAACCTGGATGCCAACGGCTAATGCAATATTATATTATAGACTGTACATAGTATACTAGAATCCTAGCTCTCGGTGCTCCGTGTAGACCTTATCATATCCTTATCGAACCATCCATAGCTGGAGTGAAACATGCATCTGTATTGGAGCAATGCAACCTAAACAGTGACTCGTCATCCCAGGATCCCGCATCTTAATAATCCACATATTCTACGCCGAGCTCCAAGTCCCTACGTCAGGAGCGTTGCATATTGTAATTCAGTACCGGCCTGAAGACATAGCCCAGTTGGCCGTACTTATCTGGCCAAGCTAGGTTCGGCGAGCATCCAACCCGAGACAAGGGTGGTCTCTAGGCAAAAGGAAAGGCTCATGTGATACTCATCAAATTATGTCGTCTTTACTCAGTGTGAGTAAGCCAAACCGCCCGGTGGCGTTGTTATCCCGTGGCTCATTGTTAAGTAATACATTTGGACAAGGAATATAGAGTACAGAACAGGATGTACGTATCTGGATACTCTAAACTGTTAGTTCAAGGGAGTCCGCAACTTTAGACTGTATAGTTTGCGTAACTAATATTAACGAGCAACTTCATTTTTGATACCGCTAGATATTAATATTTGACTTAATAACTTGATTGAACCGAGGCATATAGTTTGTCACGTCAGAGGGCCGAGATTCCGAGACAAAGTTCTGCGTCTCAGCCTTTCTGCAATTGACAGGCCATGTGAAAGTGGCTTGGGAGGCGTTAAACAAAGAAATGGACAATTGTGATGGCCTGATTACCAAGACAGCGGTTCATTTGACTCACTCTCTAGCATAACTTTGACTGCCTTTGCTCATTTACCAAATCGCTCCAAGTCAGGAAATAAGGTACTCTGGGTAGTAACGACTAAACAAAAGTAAAGTGAGCAGCAGCAGCTAGAATAACGATCAGTGCTTTCCTAGCAAGGTCCAACCTGATTTTACGCATCTTATTTTACGGATATCTAACTGTGCCACTAGTGTTACTTATAAATTGACGCTCAATTAACGGAGCAGACCAAATAATCCGCACAACTTCGTCAACTGGTATCACTTGATGTATTGTTAGTCTCGTATTACCAGCGCCTCTCGTACGGAGAGCGGCCTAGAACAGAATGTGCCGACACATCGATAGCCATCGAAGCCTATTGCCAACTACGTCCTGTGATAGCTCATTTTGCCGCCCAGCATGCGGTGTTTGAAACAAACAGCAAGTAAGACAGTCATGCGGAGGCATCCATGTGAGGCACTTATGGGCACATATGACAAGGAGGGCATCAAGTTCAGCTCTATGTACTTCCCCAGAACTTGGAGCAATTATAAAAGTATAAAAGGGCTCAAGCTCCCCGTAGGCATGGTTCTTTATTCAATCTTTTCATTATATAGCTATTAACTCGTACCAAAACACACGCTACAAGCATCAACCCCGTTTTCGCAATATGCAGCTCAAGCTACTATACCTCGTCACTTTTGTGGCTTCCGTCTTCGCGGCCGACCCCTTGGCGACTTCCGTGAATGGCATTGCCCAGGATTACGACAAGCTCAACCAAGACATTACAGCTTGGCCAGGCGATTATGAGAGTTGTAAAAGCCTCGTCGCCGAGGCGGATGTCATCGCCAAAGCACTTGTTAATGTCAAACCCCCCGTCACGATCACTTCCCCGGACGCCGCTACAGTCAAAGAGAGACAGCAAGCAGTTCAATCTCTTTGGAAGAGCATAGATGCATATCTCGATATCGCTATTGATGTCAAGTTCACAGTTGATCAGACTCAGCCATCTGTCAAGCCAATGGTCCTTACTGCGATAGAGGCCCTTCAAGCCGGCTTTTTAGCGTTAAGCAAGTCCTGTCTCGTCGTGATGACGGATGAGCCGAGTCAAGTTGCTTTTGACCAGATCAATCATAACATGAAGAGAGTCTACAAGCTTTATACTTTCTAAGTATATTGGCTGGAGATGGCTGGGATTTTGGCTCGGATCAGGCATTCGAATGGACAGCTACAGCCAATACGAATTGGGGATTTCCGAGGATGGCTAGTTATGGGCCAAGTTGAACAGTGGAATCGGTACTTGATTGAGGATATGTTCAAGTGGTTGGGAAGCTGTGGGCTCGCTGGGTTTGAATTGAATCTGTTAAAGCCTTGATGTCGTTGACACTCCTAGCTTAGATTGAAACCATAGGTGCAGGCTGTTATTGGAGATCCTGGTCCGTTGTACCAGCGACTAGAGCACTCTTTTCTGGGGCTGACACTGCTTTCAGAAGTGATATTTTGTCAGCTTTCGACGTTCAAGTTCGCAACTATAGTGTGAAGCAAGCTCTGCGGTGAACTTACTCGAGGACGGCCTCGCATCTAAGCAACTCGTCACCATATCTTGTGCTTACGATATAACAGCTTTGCGACACATCTGCGTGGCAATCGTGCTTCTGGAACCTGAATAGCACAATACTGGCGAAGGTTACGCGGCCTTCGGGGAGCTGACGGTGGTGATATGAAGGATGCTGACAAACAGCAACTAAAGTCAGAATGAAGAAGATAATCAGACTCACAATGGAACCTTGACAAATCTTGTAGATCATTTTCAAGCCTGCGGTTCCTTTGACTGGGGGTCTGTTATTACGCCAATCTTGAAAAGGCGAACAGTATTTCGTAAGCAGCGAATTGTGGCCACGGCATTGAACTAACCATTCCTAGAAGAAGTAAGATTTTGTGATATATCTGGTGCTACTTTCTCTTATTTGTTTTGAGTGCGGTGATGCCGGATATACAAAGCGTTCCAATATACTGTGATCGGACATGGAGCTTCGACAACTATATTTAGCAGTATGACACACTCGGTACTACGAGTATCGTTGGATTAGATAGACTCTATTTTCAATGCCAGATGATCTCAAGGCATTTGTAGACAGGATTGTCCGCAAATCAGGAGCCAGGCAACTACGTGCCGATGAGCGACTCCAGAAACTCCACGGCTCTTCCAGTCCCTACGCAGAGTTATCAGTCCAGTTGACGCCGTAGATGGTGATATTCAGGCTTGTAAGGAGTTAAATGATGTTCCAGTAGCACTTTTACCGGAAATGCCAAGTTTACAACAAAGATTAGATACTATGAACCAGCAGATTTTGCAGGATGCATCTGTTCTCAGTGAGCTGATGGTGGAGAACGGGAAAGCTTTAATGAAGCTACGATAAGCTTGGGATAGAACTTCTCGTCTACTTCAGAGCCCAGCGATCACTTCGGGCCAGGAAACTCGTGCAGAGTCTGGGAGCAAGAACAGCGAATCCTGTCATGCATCCGCGAACTCCATTCCTACTCGCCAAAAGGAATGAAGATTCTCAGCACTGTCCTCAAGGTTGAACAAGTAGAGAGGTTTTCTAGCTGGCGTCGGATTTGGGGCATTGGAATATTCGAAGGTCCATTGTCATGTAAGTCATTGGCCATATGCATGTAACTGTGCCCTAGTCACGAGGGCACGGCGAGGTATTTAAAGAGAACTTTGCAATCTTAGATAGTAGGAGGTTCAGAGATTAATATCGTTACTCACACTACCCTACTTAGTAGCTAGTGCATCGCGAGGTATCCTTGACCATCTCTCTGTAGTCACTCTGCTTATAACCCAGCCCTGATAAGTTAATCTCTCTACCCTAAAGGGAAGCAGACCGTCTACCAAGATATTAAAATGTCTCGCGTCACCCAATCCAACGCATTAGCCTCTACGCCCAAGCTGGAACCTAGCAACGAACCCACCACTAGGGATTACCGCATGGAGTCCAAGGAACGGGAGCTTAATATCCTATTAAAGCGCCCAATAACTTCCGCGACCCAAGACGCTGAGGAAGCTGACCTGGATGCTAAGCTTAAAGTCGCAGCGAAGCGATTGCGTCTCCTGAAAAAACGACGCCAACTAGCGGACCTTACAAGGGAGCTTAAGGCTGAAGAAAGGGGCGTTACGCAAGAAGGTCCTCGACTTTCTGCCGGACCCTCTGCGACTCCCCAGCTAAGCCTTGAGTTAGCAGCGAGCCAGCTACGCTCTAGCATGTTTGAGGCACAGTTTAGAACTCCTATCTATAAAGGAGATACCCACGGAGCCTTAAAATCTTCCTCATGGATTTAAACGTGGCTTTTATGATGGACCGAGCAATTTTTCTAACCGACGCTCATAAAGTCGCCTATGCTAGTAGCTGCCTAGTTGGTGACGCGAAGCGACAATGGATGCGCGAGGTAGACGATGATGGTTACGTGGATTTCCAACAGTATACCTGGCCTAGCTTCGTGCAATGGCTTAAAAGATGCTCGCTGCTTGGAAGCTACGAAGGACCTAATGGCTCTCCGGTAAGCCCCTAATCAGTCCTTTCACACGTACAAGAAGAATTAGAGTCGCTAGGAGGCCGAGCTGCCCGATAAGCTGCCTGAAAGACTAGCGATTTGCATGTTTATTAATAGCCTCCAACCTGCTATGAGGAAGCAACTACTTAGCCAGGAGTTCCCTAAAGATTGGAGAGTCGAAGTATTCTCATGAGGGGAAGAATGGTATAATGTCTAGAGCAAAGTACTGAGATTATCTACATACAGAGAGAGCGTTGTATGAAAATTAAGACCGACTGTACAATGAGTCTCGCGTCCTATTTCAAATCAGAGAAGTGTATTTAAACTTCCGCCCTCGTCTCGGTCCGGGGGTCATGTCAAATAAGGCAAACACAAATCCTACTTCTGTAGGTGAAGCTGTGAAGCCTCATGGCGTCTGGTCTGAGATGATTCTTTGTCTGTAATCATAAGCTTGTACTGAGAAAGTCCCTTCCACATTCGCTGGGGAGTAGAGGAATCGAGGCAACATTGCTCTCTGCCTGGCTGTAGGCTGCGTAGATTACCGATTAGCTCGGAGGCCCTCGCTAGTATCATGCCGAAGAGCCCTCATCGAAAGCTAAGTTTTTTGCTTGTCCATTTCTCCTTATCTGCCCGTTTAGTGTTCGTGTTACAAGTTTCGTGGCAAATCACTCCAATGGCGCCTATGTCAGCAAATCAGTTGCGGCTGAGCCCTCAACTTTTAGCTAGTGAAGTGTGGGAGGCACGACAACTCAAAGAAGGGAGAGCAAAGTTTCAGTTACGGCATAATGGACCAAAGCATACTTGTGCGCACCTTACAATAGTAGATAAGGCCTATTCGGATGCCGAGTCTACAGCCACCACCTTGTAAATCTAATTTGGTACTCCACGTAAAATATAATTGAGGTAACTATACATTACTTTATGATATATTTTTATTTCTTACATTCTATATAAATATTTGAACTTGTTTATCTTTACTTCAAAATATTCACCAATTCATCGGTCACTCGCTTATAGTTACAGTTTGCCTTTGCATACGCGCAGCTCCATAATTGGTCCTCGGTGCCCCACAGACCCACAACTCTATTCAGCAACCTCAACCTCATTCAACCTCTACTTACGACTCCATCACCACCAAACCTACATCTCCCACAACTCAAACCTCCCGCGCGTAAAAATGCCCTCCATAGGTCCCCAACTGCCAGCCTCACCACCCAAGCGCAAACGCTCCCCCTCGCCGCCCAACCACACCCCATCGCCACCCGCAAAACAAGCCCGCCCCAGCAACAACACTGACGAGATCAACCTCTCAGACTCGGACACGGACTCGTCCTTCGGCCCCCCTGCGCCGCTATCAACAACCACAGCCCCAACCAAGCCCTGCCCTCCCGCAAACGCAGACTTGGCCGACCTCCCCGCAGACTCAGACTCCTCCGACTCGGACTCCTACGGCCCAAGCCTCCCAACAGCAACCTCCAAACGGCCAACCATCGGCCCCAGCCTGCCGACATCAGACCCGCCCCCCCAGAGAGACACATGGATGCTCGCGCCCCCCTCCTCAAGTGGCTACACGGAGCGCGACCCGACGCGCATGCGCAACCGCAAATTCACCTCCAAGCCAGCACCCACGTCCTCGGCCCCGTCATCAATATGGACAGAGACGCCGGAGGAGAAACTCAAGCGCCAAAGAGACGCACTGCTAGGCCGCACGGCGGAAGCAAGCACCGACGGAGGCAGTGCTGCCCAACGCACCAAGCACCACGAGGAGCGGGACCGCAAAATCGCCGCGACGATAGACGCGCACCGCGGAAAGAGCTTGTACGACGAGCACTCGCACAGAAGAAGGGAGGAGGGCGCCAAGAGCGGCCGGGCGGCCGCCGGCGGCGACGACGACGACGACGACGATCCTAGCAAGAGGGCGTTTGATCGGGAAAAAGACATGGCTCTCGGGGGCAAGATAAGCGAGAAGGCGAGGAGGGATTTTATAAACAAGAGTGCCAATTTCGGGGGCAGGTTTCAAAAGGGTTCCTTTTTGTGATATTCAGTCGTATTGTATTTATATAAATGGGTTACGAGACGCACGACACGAGGTGCTGGATACCATTCGATGAGTTACATGAGCTGGGAACAATGTACACTGGATCAGTGGCGGAAACCGCCAGAATATACATAATGAGGGATTCATGTCCGCTTCACCCAAGATACATTACAGACAAAAACATATAATTTAACATTCACTGCTATTGACCATGTACAGCCACCAAATATGCCATATATAACCGACCAACTCCGCCGCTACAATAAACAATTAGATAAAAAGTCCATGTGATCCCAGCGCCGTAATGCAACAAGATACGGCCATCTCTCTCAAGCAGTAGACATCCACCATCGTCCATTTCAACGAAAAAGTACTGCGTCGTATCATTGGAAGCTCATCCATGAAAGTCTTCCCAAACTCCTCTCGCGAAGCTTGTAAAGCTAGCAGTTAGTTTCCCTGAAGAGGCTGACAAAAGAAAACCATATACAGAGTGAGGAACAGGCCTCCGTGGCTTCCATAGTATGGTAGGCAGTATTATCGAGCCATACGAAATACTAACAAGACATTGCTTTGAAAGCCGTAATTATCAATTTGTCCCAAGAGGCGTCAAATGTGATATATATACGTAGTGGGGGTGGCCGATTTTCCCCAGTCATGTGGGCACAAAATGCTCCGTGGTAGTAGACCCAGTATAACACCCAGTCCACGTCACTGGCTAGCAGCTTGACGAGTGCCAGATTCTAGTTGTGCCGGTGTTACATTTTGGTTGGTTGCGGCTGATGTCGCAGGCTGCTGATTCCTTTGCCGACCAAATGGCAAGGCCGAGCGGATGGATGATAATATGCCGCCATTGTTAGATTCGGCGGGCGTTGTGGTGGTTGTGCCGCGCTCCTGCAGGCTCGGTTGTGTCCGAGATGATCTGCCCCGTGATCTGCCGTCACGGCCGCCGCGCATAAACGAAATGTCTCGAGATGATCCAGTATTGCTGCGGAACCAAGCGGACCGGAGACCGCTTGGCAGGTTGAGGCGGGTGTGGTTTCGAGGATCTAGGCCGTTACCATTGTTGGCACTGGCATCGCCTTCCTGATTGGGGCGAGGCTTCGGTGTGTAATAATCAGCCTTGCAAAGAGGGCAGCAGGCTCGCCTGCTGGTCAGCCAAGGATCGACACAAACAGCATGGAAAGCGTGGCCACAAGTAAGCCCTCTGACGTCGTCGTCGTCTTCCAGAGTATCAATACAAATGGCACACGAATCACCAGGCGCCGTGAGGCATTCAGGCGGCAAGGCAGCGTCAATGTGCTCGTCATCTTCATCTTCAGTAGACATTCTACGGAGCGGAACGGGTCCGTCTTCTTGTGCGCTAGAGGTCTGTGCCGTCTCGCCAGCCAGTTCTGACTCAGGTTTGGCCGCCTTCTCGTCGTCCCGCTTGTTCACGTCGGCGGCTGTGGCGGTTTCGGACTCATCAATAGTATGGGCTTCGGTCGAGATGTGGCTTTTAACAATTGCGACATCGGGGAGAATACCATCGGCATCGCGGATGCTATTTGCGCGGCTTGGCGGGACAGAGACACCTCCGGCAGTCGGCAGACCCTCCCTGGCCCGTTCTGATACCCAGGTTTTGTACTTCATCATGGGGAATTTCTCGTTTACTTCGTCCATAGTCATCAGTTTCTTCTCGCGACGTCTGCGCGGCCGGTGGACGGTCTCGAGAGTAATAGGTTCTCCCTCCTCGTTGGTCATTCTGGCTCGGTTGCGGGCGTTGTATCGGAAGCAATACTTGACACCGACGATGATCCTGAGATAGTATAAGCACTCGCCATCTCTAAGACGCCCCAGCGTTACCAAGACAGAGAGTAAATTGGTAACAAGGAAACAAAACAAGATCATGTACGCCATTTCGCCGGCTCCGGAAACTTCTTACCAAAGATTTGTAAAGACCACACCAAAGCCGAGGGCAACGAAGAAGAGGAGGGGCGAACTAGATCCTCCATTACTTGAACTGTCGTTCTTGGCAGGCGAAGTTGTAGCCGGAGGGGTACCGCTTGACGTTGGTGATTCGGTCGGTGATGGTGTTGCCGTTGCCACATCCGACACTTGTCTTGCAACAAGGAGGGCAGCCTCACCCAGCATCTGGGCGATGACAGCCATGGTGACGATTGAACGGAGAGTCGCCGAGGATAATCTCGAACGTCTGCGCAAAGGGATGGGATTCTAGTTCGGCATGGGGTACATAAGCCGACAAAGGAGGCCAACCGAGAGGTTTCCTTCAAGGTACCCCAGGTTCTATTTCTGGCGATTGCAAGAAACGGCGAATCCTCCAAGTTCAGTCTGGCGTCCGGGGCGTGCACCAGACGAGAGGAGAAACGGCACCTGGTAGGCGGCCAGGAGAGACGGGGTCGAGTCGCCCGCTCAACGAAAGTGAGAGAAAACGAGGGATCAATCAATCGCACGGAAGGCGAGGTGAGGTACGGCGAGCATTCAACGGTTAACGTCGCGACGTTGCGGATGCAGGCGTGCAACGGCGATGGTCGATGGGGCGTGTGAGGGACAATGAAAAGAGAGGCTTTGGAGTTTCAATGTCGGGACTGAGCCGGGAGTGCAAGTGGGTATATGGGCAAAGAGGAGAGGAGAGGCGAGGCGGAGGCAAAAAGCCAAGGGCTGGCACACCCTGCGTCCAGGCAGTTGGCAGGCTGGAGGAGGTCCCAATGTCAACTGGTGCCAGCGCGGTAGCGCGGGTACTCGGACTAGTA